AAAAAAAAAAACGATCGCAGGGAAAGGTTTAATCTGCTTGATAGAGCAGATTAAACCTTTCCGGGAGAAAATGTTTCTCTCCCGGGCGGCCGGGAGCCGCTATCTAATAGCGGGAGACTCCCGGAGCTTCCGGGAGAGTTGAGATGTCTGGGTTTCCTCCCACACTCCAGAGACATGCTGGTAGGTTAATTGGCTCCTCTCTAGGTTGGCCCTCTATGTATGTGTGTGAGATAGGAACCTTAGATTGTAAGTTCCTTGAGGGTGGGGACTGATTTGAATGTGCAACTATGTAAAGTGCCGTGTAAATTGTCGGCGCTATATAAATACCTGTAACAATAATAATACTTGTTTGTGCACGCTTCAGACTACAAAAATGCTACATGACATTCTGCAGGCTTGTGTAAGCATCCAGGATCAGTGTAATTTTCACCCAGAATGTCCAAGGTAGGGGTATATTTTTTATTAAATTATTTTCCAAACATTTTTTTCTTTATGGGGGCCAACTCCAGCCCCCTATACAGTACATTCGGCATTAACTATGAGTGAATCAAACGTTATAATAAATTGGCCTATTCCCCCTGAGCAAGTGACCAATGCCACCACTATTTCTGCTATATTCGCTGCCCTGTGTGGCATTTGCCTAAATGGACAGCATTGGCATAATCCCTAGCATCACCTCTAACCCAGAAAACTATTTTCTTGTACTCTACAGCGGCCAACCAGCAGGCCCCATAGGAGCAGATGCCATTTCATGTGAAGAGTGGGCACAAGGGGAGATAAGAGTAGTAGTAACTGTGAGATAAGGATGTTGTGCAATTCAGCACCAGTTTCAGTACAGGAAAGTAGCAGAAAAAGGGCTTTTTTGGTGTTCTAATGTTCAGTGTAAATTTTGGAAATCAAAATGCTATCATTATTAAATCTTCCAATTAGGGCACCCCTTTCAATGACAACTAAGAGAGGATTTCTGATCACTTTTGTGAAGATAGCATCACATGACTTAGAGCTGCAAGGGAAGTCTGGGATAGTATTCCAAAAACAAAAATATCCCAGCCAGCCTTTAAGAAATCACTTCAAAGCTTTGCAAACAATCTGTATATATAAATATACTATTAAAGAGAAATTCCACCTTTTAGTAAAAAATAATAAATGCACACTTCTTTATTAAAAAAAAGTGCATTTAGTATTTTTTATTTGCATTGGAGCCATTACAGCAGTGTTCACTAAATGACGGACTCTGATCGAGTGGCGTTTCTGTGCAGGCCACGATCGCCGACCTGCACTGGGTTATGGCTGGCTGGCAGTGCTAGCGGCAACAAAATGCACCTTCGCCTGAGTTGGCAAAAATCCTTGCACCGGCCCTGACTCAGATCACTTGTACAAGGCTGCAATTGCACCTCCCCTGCCATGTTTTTGGGTCCCCTGCTCCTCTGGGGGGCCCTGGTCCCCGGCACACAGTGTCAGGATGGAGAGCGGGAGCAGACACCCGTTCCCCAATCTGCTCTGTAATCACTGAAGTATGAAGCACTGCTCTCAGCACTTCCTGCATCAGAACTGTCAGAAGCCGTCTGAAGTGCTGGAGAAACAGAAGGTGAAGCACATTACTGTGCTTCATTGTCTGTGTTGGAGGTACAGGGGAGGCATCCACTCATCGAGACTCCTGATGTCTCGATGAAGAGAACCTGTCACCTCTAAATGCTATCACAAAGAGGCTTGTTAGCCCCTTTATGATACCAGAAGTTAAGTGAAATAAAGGTGAAGAAGTAAAAAGAAGTAAAGTAAAAAGTAAATAAAAATAATAAGAAAAAATGAAAACCAACCCTGCCACCGGATTGGAATGAACATGTGTATGTAAGGCATGCACGTGTATGTACGGGGAGTTCTAACAAAAAAATAAAATAAAAACTGTGATCTGCCAGGATCGGCGCATCAGCACTGTACCTGGGAACACATACCAGTAGCTGTGCGTTGCAGTGCAGCTGCTGGTTTAAATGCAGCCTCTTTGTCCTCAATTTCTTTTTCTATTTCAAAAGGGAAATATCAGGGGTCTGTTTAGACCCCTGATATATAATTGGAGTGCATTAGTTTTTTCTTTTTAAAAAAACATTATTTTAACTGTGGCAACGCATGGTAAAGTTTTGTGACACATTACTGTGCATTGGGATAGCTTGTGTTGCAATTAAATATAAGCCTGTATCATTTTATCACAACAAAAACACCAACACAGCGCAAAAACAATTTTTAACATAAATCGCTTATTTTCAGTTTTGCATTCCTTCATTTTTTTAACCTTTTCACAAAAAGGCATAATTTCGAAATATTTGTTATTATTATTACATAGTACAATACAATTTAAGACAAGATGGTAAGGAGGGCCCTGCCCCTGAGGGCTTACAATCTAAAAGGGAGGGGGAAGTGATACATGAGGAGGTAGCTGTGTGGGGATGAATTGTTTGAGAACGTGATGGTTCAGTACTGATACTGATTTTAGGGCTTTATCAATGGAATTGTGTATTTTTATCGGTTTATTATTAATTTGAGAAACATTTGCACAATTATCGCAGGGCCTACAAATTTAGTAGAACCATCTTTTTATTCTGCCGGGCCTGCGCTTTCAGAAAATATATGGTTTGGGGGGTCTTTTACAAACGCTAGCAACGCAGTCGAAAAGCAAATCAATTGGAAAAATTGCAAAAATGGTGTGGCCAGCTGAGGTGCAAAATGTTCCGGAGGGCTTGGCAGCGAATGGGTTAAAGCCTCGCCTATGGACAATTTGGGGGACCATGTTTTTTCACTTTTCATGGACACACGCACTAAAGCTTGGCATGTTGGGTATCTATGTATTCAGCACAACCTCAGCTTTTACATTTTACAAAGAATGTTTATAATGTTGTGTTTTTGTGCACTAAAGTTTACTTTTTACTGAAATTTTGGGTATCATAAACAGGTGTGCTATCACGCAACATAACTTTTCAACTGCTGACATTTTATTTTACAGGGTCGGTGCTTTTATGAAATATATAATTGGGTGTGGGTTGTCATTTTCAGATCCAAAATGTAGATTATAGCATGTGTGCAAAAACGACTGTGGCAGTGAAAGGGTTCATTTATCTATGCTCTATATCAGGGGTAGGCAACCACAGCACTCAAGCTGTTTTCAAATGACAAATCCCATCATGTCTCAGCATGGGGAAGTCATGCCTGTGGCTGTCAAAAGTCTTTTCCATGCCTCGTGGGACTTGTAGTTCCAACAGCTGGATTGCCGAGATTGCCCACCCCGGTCTATGTATTCTATAAGCTATGTCACTCGGTTCTATCTCAGAAGTGTGAGAGGTATGAACACTGCTCCGTGTCTATAAAGAGTACATCAAATACATATATGTACATTACAGCCATTTATAGCCACACAGCACATGGCAGGGAAGAGCACAGCCATCAGCCTGTACTTTATCTTCTCCCATCACCAGCCCGCCCTCCTCCCTTTTCCAAAATGGGGGCCCTGCCCCCGGTGAAACGTGAATATCGCCAAGTGACGGCGGAGAAGCGAGGCCCGCCCTGATCTAAGATGGCGTCGCCCATGAGGGCAGTGATGTTGGGCAGCCGAACGCTGAGATGTCTTCGGGTTACCGGGCTACAGAGGAGCTACGTCACGGTCAGCGGCAGGAGGGGTGAGAATATAGCGGGCAAGGGAACGGGGGCTGATGATGGTGGTGGAGGCTAGATCGGAGAGACTGTAGATTTGTGGCAGCTGATTATCACATGGGAGGCGCCACACTGTACACAGGGGTCGGTCCTAGGATTGGCCCTCAGGGTAGGGGCCCTGAGCGTCCCAGCTTCTGGATATTGCATTCCACTTGTTGTTACACTTCAAATGTGGTTTCCAGAACTCTCTCTTTATGTATGTATGTGGGGAATTAGCTGTTTATATATATTTTTATTTTTTCTACGTTTTTCTCATCAATATACCTTGTGTGTAGTACCTGCATGACCTCTAATGTTTTGTATAGATCTCTGACATGGAGTGTTGGTACCGCTTGCCTCCTTTCTGTGACTGTGTATTTTTATTCATTTATTTATTTTTGTTAGCTAGTTATAAACATTTTTTTTCCAACTAGCAATAAAAAAAAAAAATTGACCAACAGAGAATATTAAAGAACTCCAGGTTGTAGATAAATTAACCCTTGCGGGGGCGCTACCCCCACACAGAAAGGCTTACCCTGTTAGCTTTTCTCTAGGGGGTTCACATAATGCAGAAATTCTCCCGTTATCCTCGATCCTGTCTGGCTGCTAGACTGGTCCCCACAGCCTCTTCTCCCCCAGGTTCCAGCGGTCTAAGCTCCACTGACATCACATCTAATGCAAGTCTATCTGTCTTCGAGCAGAAGTCCGAATTGCGGTCTGGACAGAACAGTCACTCAGTCCATACTAAGGTCCTCCATTAAGGCTGATGTGTAAGGCACAGCTGCTGTTGTGTGTTCCCAGGCGTGGATCCTGGTGCATTGCACTATTTTATTTTTTAATAGGAACCAAGTCCCTAACATGCCTCTATGTGACCGCATTTGGAGGTGACAGGTTTTCTTTATGGAGACACCGGGGGTCTATTCGACTCCTGATGTCTCCTCTGTCCCCTTATACGGACGATCAAGCGCAGCTGTGTATGTTTTTTTTTACCTGCCACTTCAGCTGCGGTTTGATAGCTCTGAGAGCACAGCACTTCCTGCTTCATTCATCGCAAGCAGATATGTTCCTCAATCTGCTCCTGCTCACCCTTCTGACTCCCTCTGCCATTGTTCAGGGCCCCCAGAGAAATGGGGGACCTCAAAAACAGAGGGTGGGGTACAGCAGGGCTGGCTGTACCCCCTATAGGCGGCCCCGCCTGATGTCATTGAGTGTTACAAACTAATAAAAATAGATCCAAATGGCATTTCTACCTTTTTGGTTTCTACTTCAAATACACATAAGGCCAGACTACTGACATTTGGGGTAGCGAGGCAGTACAAGCGCGTCACACTGTGCTGTAGCGAGGCAGTACAAGCGCGTCACACTGTGCGGTAGCGAGGCAGTACAAGGCGCGTCACACTGTGCTGTAGCGAGGCAGTACAAGCGCGTCACACTGTGCCTAAGCGACGCAGTACAAGCGCGTCACACTGTGCCTAAGCGACGCAGTACAAGCGCGTCACACTGTGCTGAAGATGATAGAACTGAATGGAATGTGACATTTCAATAAAGTTCTAACAACAACAACAAAAAAAGTAAAGTGTGCAATGCAGCTGGATTGGTACGTCAGCATTGTTACAGCACACACCAATGCCACACCAGAACTCTGAATGGGAAACCTATATTGAGAGAAGTATAGAAGCTGCCATTGTTGATCCCCCTCCTGAAAATGTGAACTGCCTGGCTTTCAGTGCAACCCCCCTGGTCTTAGTTCTTTCAGGGCCACTGGCCTGAAACGCGTGGCACAGCAGAACTTTTAATGACAAATGAGACTGTAGACTTGAGGGACTGTTAGGTTGCTTATTTCTTAGGCAGTCAGTGAGATGCTTTGTGCAGCAATTCTAGTACATGAGCCTCTCTGCCTGCTGCACAATCCATACTGCCCAGTGGGAAATGAAAGGGGATTTCATGGGGCTGAGCCACTTTTCAAGTGTCACCAACGTAAATCTGTATGAGTGTATTGCTATTATGTGGAACACATTTTCAGACAGATTGCTTTCTAACTCCTAACCAAATACCAGGAAATCCCTTGTTTGGTGAGGAACTGAAATAACCATCCATGAGTTCCTGGCCTCATTTTTGGAAGTAATTAACTTTAAGTTGCTGGTCTCATTACAGACGTAACATTCAAACTCGATGGGAAAACAGCCCACAGTAGCCTGGACCTGTTCAAGAAGGACACAGGAATAATCTATCACATGCTAGGTATTGACCCATCCAAAATCCCACAGAACCCTGAACGTTTTCGAGAATGGGCTGTAGTGCTGGGAGACACTTCAATATCGAGCGGTCGCCATTACTGGGAAGTGACCGTGAAGAAGTCCAATGAATTCCGCTTAGGTGTCGCAGATGCAGATATGTCCAGGGATGAATGCATCGGAGTCAACAACCGTTCCTGGGTCTTTGCCTACAGCCATAAAAAATGGCATGGCATGGTGGCAAATAAAACAATCCCCATCACCAACATTGGCCATCCAAGCAAAGTGGGACTCCTACTGGACTATAATAATAGGAAGCTAAGTCTTGTGGACTCTGACAAGGGTTCCCTTATCCACACTCTCAATGCAGACTTCCGAGGGCCAGTCTTGCCTGCGTTTGGTCTGTGGGATGGAGAACTTCTAACCCACTCAGGCTTGGATGTCCCTGGCAGTCTTTGAAGCCACCAAGTCTTCTCAGTCAAGTGCCTCTCCAGTCCATATTATATTCTGATCAACAACTGGACTTCTTTTTGTTGGTGATGGGTATCCAATGTATTGCAGTGTTCAAGCTTTGTTTATGCAGTGCTTTACCTTCTACAAAAGTCCATCTGTATTCAGTGTTCATATACAAATGGAAATTGTTCTAGTAATGTCTGTAATTAAAAGAAATGCACAACCACGAGTGATAGATACATACCGTACATACATACATCTCGCTGAAATAAGCAATGATCATGAAATCCACATCAGAGCACAGCCAAGTGACCGTGTTTGTCTCATTTCTATATACTGTCAGTGGATTCCACAGTGTTAAAGTACTTTAGTCAGCATTCTGCATGATTTTACTTCATTTTCTATATACTTCTTTGTGACTCTTCAGTATACAACAATAAACCATGGAAGGGTGCAGAGCTTACATATGTTATCTATCTATTTAAATAAAGAATTGAGAATTTCCCCAGACCTTGGCTTTTGCTGGTTTTTCTTCTTGAACCCTAGCACTTTTTATTACAAGTGGTCATTTCTTCTCTCATTTCCCAGAGCTGTTTAAATGCCGCACGTTGTAAATCCATCTGAACCTGATGCAACATGTTGGTGAAAAGGAAGCATGAGCAAATGTAAGCATACGATCTGCATACTCACTGGTAACTAAGTAAGTGTGACTTTTGTTGAGGATAAAACAAACCAATCCCTTTTGGATGATCTGTAGACATATGCACAGGCAAAACATTTGTTTCCTGACGCCAATCCATGGCAGCATACAATGGGTGGGGGGCAGAGCCATACCCATTGTATGCTGCCATGTATTGGCGTCAGGAAAGGAAAACTACCGATAGGTAAGTATACAATTTTCCGTATTCCTGACGCCAATCCATGGCAGCATACAATGGGTATGGCTCCGCCCCCCACCCATTGTATGCTGCCATGTATTGGCGTCAGGAAAGGAAAATTACCGATAGGTAAGTATACAATTTTCTGTATTGGCTTTCATTCACACTTTTTGGGATTGGGGTCCGAAAGTCAATTCGGATGAAATAAGTTTGAGGTAGTATGTCCGAATTTTCATTTTTGGATGAATTTTTTGTTACAGCAAAGTAACAAAATGTACTTTTTTTTCTCCTTTCAGTATGCAAAAGGAAAGTTCCCCTCCCGATTCATACCAGGCCCTTTAGGACCACCCCCCCAAGTTAAAAAAAAAAAGTGTGTGGGGTTCCTCCCAAAAGCATTTCCAGGCCCTTTAGGTCTGGTAGGAATTTTAAGGGGGAACCCCACCCCCAAAAAAATCATGGGGTCTCCACTAAAATTCCTACCAGACCCTTGAGCCAGATACTTTCATGAAAGCGACACTAAACTCAGGATTTAAAGCTTAAAGGGTTTCTAAACCCTCCGTGTTTTTTTGCCTATATCTACTGCTAGCAAGCAGTAGATATAGGCAAAAAGTTTTTTTTTTTTTTTTAAACAGCTTTAACAGCAGTTTAAACTTGCCCTGTTTTCGTCGCATGCTCCCGCCCGAGAATCCGAAACTGCTCGGGTGGCCGCAAAGCATCTTGGGGCATGCGCTGTTCGGATTCTCGGCCGGGAGACGAGTAGAGACACAAGGTAAGTCTATGGACGCGTGCACCCGCATGCAAACACTGTGGGAGAGGAAGTGCCTGTAAGCAGAGAGGAGTCAGCGCTGGATCGGGGAGCCGCCGCACCGCTGGAGAGACAGATGAAAACATCAGGAAAGAAGATCGGATTAAGAGACATCATTTAAGGTAAGTGCTGACATTAACATGGGGGGGGAAACATTTTTTTTTTTTACTTTAATGTCACTTTAAGATGCAGTAAATTACCTTAACTAGTAACACAAATGTATCTTATTTGTGTATCACTCGGCTGTGGATCCTCAAATCATCTCTGAATTGGTGCCGACACTGTCCTTCCTTCTGGAGGGTGGCTACTTTTGTTCCCCATGGTCCCTGTGTGTGTTGTAAAGTAGCCACCGCTCCAAGCTCACTCCTGTGATAAACTCAAGTTTAGTAATTTGCATTGTATCGCTTCTGTCTTTTGGCTAAGATCGTGTAGTGTCTGTTCTTATCAGTGTAATATCGGATACGTCCCCTATCTGGGCACCAAATATTAAATGGATTTTTAGAACAGGGAGATGAAAGACGAGCTTGCTCTGTCCATGCCACACTTCGACCTGGTATTGCAGTATCTCCAGGACCGGTGCGCCAAAAAAAAAGACAAAATATGAGCTTAAAGTTTCCGAGTTCCGGAGTATGCACAACAGCAACAAATAAGAGATCCCCATAACTGAGGAGTGCAAATGGACATAGGGATCTTTATGCTATGCTGTTAGGCATATGTAGCATGTATTTGATGAGGAAACCTCTCGGCTCCAAAGGTGACTTTAGACCAAATAAAACAAAGGCAGGGCAGTTATGGATCAGAGGTTCTGACAGCACTTATTATGGATCAGTGTCACTCAACCCATTGAAGTCAAAGAAGCAGCAGAACAGGTAGACATTTAGCATTTTCGAAAGGCATTTCCACTCTAGCAGGCCACATGAGTTGCTCATGACAAGTTTCCATTAGAGCAACACAGGTTGGTTTTATTCCCCAGCCCATATTTATCTTACCCTCACTACTCTGTGCAGCTCCAGAAACTGGCACAAATACCAGCACGTGTCACAGGTGGAGGCCAAAACCCAGTGTCAGCTATGACTTCAGCAACACATACTGGAAACAGGCATTTCCTTTAACTCCCAGCAGCAGAAGAGAGAGTGGAAGGAAGGAAGGTAAGTATCAGCTGCTGGAGCAAAATGAAAGCTGGACTCCAGGCAAAATATACAGATATGGGAGATGTTACCTGCCAAAAGATTTGTATTCTGTTTTAGTCCTGAAATTTACACAGCTTTGCAACACAGCAGGGGAGCGGACCTGATCTTTTTCGGTTGCAGTTTCACTTTCACATACAGGTCTCCACCTACCCTGTGACAAGAGAAGTAGCAGAACTATGGCCTTGTTCCTGACATTCCTCTCCACTATGGCCTCATTCCTGACACTCCTCTCCACTTCCTCCTTGCACCACACACAGTACACCTTTCTGGCTATTTGTGCTGCTTTTTTCTCTCGCAGGCTGAGCTCTGCTGTACTAGTACTGAAAGAGACTGATAAAGAGTCAAATCCAGGCACTTAAACAAATAATTTTTGCTGCAAGTTTTCTGGCCCATTCTATTCTATATTCATACTTCTAGTTTTATGTATGTGATCAGAGAGAAAACCATTTAGGACTGTATTACTATATAAAGCACATACCCCAGTGTATGGTCTGGGTACTTGTAGGCCAGCCACCTGCGGATGTCTATGACGAGTACTGTGTAGGAGTTTTTTCATTCAATAGCACAATAAGGCACGGCACACACTGCTGCAATTTGTGAATTCTACAGCTTTTCAAGTTTAATAGAAGTACAATGCTGGCAGAAGCAAGTTCAAAACATTTTAAGAAAATCAGAACATTCAACAATCTCAAAACAGTTTTCCAAGTTAAGGCAACAAAGCTGCACTGCTCAGATTCAGTGCAATGTGAGCCGACATTCTTCTTACCCAGGAGCTGCTTGATGAAGTTGCAGGAAACTGGATTCCCTGCACTGAACTCTTACATGCAGAAAGATAAGCTATGCAAAGAATACGTAATGATTCCAAAGGCACATTACCATAAGTGAAGTGTGTGTGTATGTATGTGTATATACATACATAGTGTGTATATATATATATATATATATGTGTACACTGAGTGGCCAGATTATTATGACCACCCCATCAGTACTTCGTTGGGCCACGAGATGACTCCACGAGATGACTTTGTTGGGCCGCCTTGTGACTCCACGAGATGTTGAAAGGTGATGCGAGGAATCTGACACTGCACTGTTGCCCTTCTGTTGTCTTGTACCAGTCTTGCCACTCTCCGTTCTGCCCTAACATTGACTAGTCGCTGACGGCCACAATTCGCACGTTCAGACCCAGATTTTCGGCTGACAGTCCAGTCTTTAAACACTTTAACAACAGCTGCTCTTGAACATTTACCGAATTCTGCTGTTTTGCTGATACTCGCTCCATGGCTCCGAGCGCCAACAATCATCCCACGTTCAAAGGCTGTTAAATCGCGTTGTTTCCCCATATCTTCAGAAAAAAAATCACTGCTACTGTCGTGGTAAACAACCTGCTTCCCTATTTATAATGGTCTGGCCCTCTAGCAACTACAGCGCAAAATTATAGCTAATTTGCCTACAAACATCAGGTGGTCATAATAATCTGGCCACTCAGTGTATATGTATGTGTGTATACTGTATAAGTATATATGTGTGTGTGTGTGTGTGTGTGTGTGTATATATATATATATATATACACACATACTGTATATAAATGTCAGAATACAATGCAAACAGCGGCAATTCCTCGATCGACACGCTGGTTGTGTTGATGGAAGAATCGCGTAAATTTTTTTTCATTCGGCCCGTGGGTTGAATGAAAAAAAAATTGACAAGCGTATGGCCAGCGTTAGGGAGACTTAATCTCTCTAATTGTTCTGATCACCAATATCAGTGGGAATGGAAGTGAGGGTAAATGCACAATTTTAACTGCTTGCCGTCCAGTCATTGTAATTAAATGGCCATGCGGCTCATATTTGTGGGCAGGTGGGCGCTCTTAGGGCTTGTTCACACCATGTCCAGACCAGAACAGTTTGTTATTTTGAACTTTGTGTACAGATGTGTCCCCTGCCCTCCTTTCAGTGTCTACAACCGGTAGCAGATGTAGTGATGAACACGGATGGGGCTGTGTATGTTCCAGCTTGAAGAAGTAGTTGATCACCAGCACTCATATCACCACATATATCAGCCAACGTTTCAGGGCCATTGCAGGTCCCTATGTCTCCCTGATGAAGGGACCCTGCGTGGCCCCGAAACATTGACTATCTGATATACTGTATATGACGCTACATATCAATAAATGAACACAAAGATTTAAAACCATATCTTTTGCATGCTGGTAATCCACTACTTTCTTACTGCAAGTACCACACTTCCTTTCCCCAGGCTGAACTTAAGCCATGTCTTTCTTTCTTCATCTCCATTACCTTGAGGGGTGGGGGCATTAGTTTACAGAAAGTAGACAAAATTGTGCTTTCAGTTTAGCTCACAGGAAGTTAAAAGGACACCACATTTTTGGCAAGATTAAAGGAGAACTATGGTGTTAGGGCTTTTCCCCATAGTTCTCCTTAGGGTAACGGGAGGACACAAACGTCCTCCCGTTACCCTAAGCTCAGTATACCGCGAGCTACTGCTTGCGGTATACTGAGACGCCGCAGCTGAAGCGGATCCCGACAATTATGTCTGGATCTGCCCAGCTGCGTGAGTGACAGCTGGCTCTGCCTATCTAGAGGCAGAGCCAGCTGTAGCCGCCCCCTCCCCCGTCCGATCCGCCAGTCAGCGCTGGCGGATCGGAGGGGGGAATCCAGCCCCTCCCCTGTCACGGCAGAGAGCCGTGACAGGATCGAGAGGTATGCGAACGCCGGTATGTGTTCGCTCACCTCCCGATCTACTGAGCCGACCTGTGACAGTCTCATTGTCACAGGTCGGCTAGAACTATGAGGTGAGTGAAAATCACTCATGTCATAGTTCTCCTTTAATAGGTAATTTCTATACTTAACAAATGTACTTGGCCTGAAAAATGAAACAATGAATGCAGCCATCAGATGTAGAGACTTGTAAGCTGTAATATGCTATATTTGTGCTCTTGGGTTTAGATAACCCTAAGGGCTTGTTCACACCAAAAGCGTGTGCGTTCCAGAGCGGTAGCTGCTGGAACGCACCCACGATCGCTAAGAAAGTTCTCCCCGCATTTTGGGGAGGGGGCGTGGCGGTGCATTAAATTAAATGGCACCGCTTCCACGCCCCCCTGCCCGCAGTGCAATTGAACGTGTGGCAAAACTTTGCCAGCGTTGCGTTCCACTGCAAACGCAAAAAATAGAGCAAGCCCAAAGTTTTGCCACGCATTCGATCACACTGCGGGCGAGGGGTGTGGAAGCAGTGCCATTGAATTCAATGCACCGCCACGCCCCCTCCCGCCCCAAAACGCAGGGAGAAGTTTCTTAGCGATCGCGGTGCGTAACAGCAGCTACCGCTTTGGAACGCACACACTTTCGGTGTGAACAAGACCTAAATAATACTCTTTTAGTGCAGAGGGACTGAATCCATAGCAAGGACTCTCTATACACTGTAGTTTGTTCTATACACTGTAGTTTGTATGTTCTTTCAGGGTTTAATTGGATGACCTCCCAAAACCATACTAGTGAGTGTATGTCAGACTGGGGTCAGGATAATAGTGCATTGTAAGCTCCTATACGTGTAAAGTGCTGCAAAAAGGTCAGCAGTGTAAAAACTAAAAAATAAATATTAGCTTTGGTTTTGTTTATTTAATTGTAACATGAAATCTGTATTTATGTGCATTGAAAATGCAGGAAATGGCAGTTGTCTGGTCTGACTACGTCCCAGCTAAGATGGATGTTTTCAATTATTGAGCAGAAGGTAGTTCTAGAGAATGATCACTTTTAGACATGTGCACCAGCAAAAAATTTGTTTCGTTTTGATTCGGATTTCGCGTTATTTAGTTTTTCGGGTCCAAAATTGAATTCGTTTCGGGATTCGGAAAAATTAGTTAGCGGTAGTCCGGTCGAAATTTCGTTTTCGTTTCGTTTGTTCGTTGCAGCAAAGTGACATTAGGGAAAAAACATTTTTTTTAGTCTGCAGAAGAGGGGAAAAAAAGCGTGAGGTTCCCCCCAAAATCCATACCAGTCCCTTTAGGTCTGGCAGGAATTTTAAGGGGGAACCCCAGCCCCCCAAAATGGGGGGGGGCGAAACGTGGGGTCCCCCCTAACAGTCCTACCAGACCCTTGATCCGAGGCCTGGCAGGGCAGGAAAAGGGGGGGGGGGGCGATCGGGCGCCCCCCCTCTCTGCGCCTTACCAGGCCACATGCCCTCAGCTTTGGGAGGGTGCCCCATGCCGATGGGGGACAAGGGCCTCTTCCCCAAAACCCTGACCCGGTAGGGATCTGCGGGCAAGGGGGCTTAGACGCCTTAAAGGGGTGCCCAGATGCAAATAAGCCCCCTTGCCCGCAGGCCCCCACAACCACCGAGTCAGGGTTGTGTGGAAGAGGCCCTTGTCCCCATCGGCATGGGGGCACCCTCCCAATGCCGAGGGCATGTGGCCTGGTAAGGAGGGGGGAGTGCTCGATCGCCCCCCCTTTCCTGCCGAGCGAGTGCTCGGATCAAGGGTCTGGTAGGAATGTTAGGGGGACTCCACAGTTTATTTCCTCATTTTTTGGGGCTGGAGTTCCCCCTTAAAATTCCTACCAGATCTAAAGGGCCTGGTATGGATTTTGGAGGGAACCCCACACACTTTTTTTTTCGTTTTAACTTGGAGGAGGGTCCCTCCTAACATTCCTACCTGACCTAAAGGGTCTGGTATCAATTAAGGGGAACCTCACACTTTTTTTTCCTCTTCTGCAGACTAAAGGAAAAATAAATGTTTTTTTTCTAATGTCATTTTGCTGCAACGAAATTCCGTCCAACAAACGAAATTTCATCCAGATTACCGCTAACGAGTTTCGGAATCGGAAATTCGGATTCGTTTGTATTCGTTATAACTGTAATTTGGAATTTGGATACATCTGAATGTCCGAATTTCGATTCGGAACGAAACGCATCACACATGTCTAATCGCTTTTATCACCACCTTGAAGACATTCTGCTCAGGCACCAAATGGTCTATATCTACACTGCTAAACATGACACACTTTCTAAGCTGGTATACAAAGAATATTTTCCTATACAGTAGAATATAACTTAATTTCTCTCTTTAATATATTAGTTAATTCCTAACAATTATCAATGGTTACAATACTTTTATAAAATGACTGATGTCCAGTGCAATTATTTAGGTAAGGCGCTCTTATTCACAGACTGAGCACTAAGCGGTGTATTTACAAACAATCTGCAGAGCCATTTGTCCTGCAAAACTCTGAATGATCATTCTGTGTGAATGGTGGTAAAAATGGAACACGTTTTCTTTTCAAGTTAAATGTACAATCAGTAAAATAACACAATATGGCCACTAGATGAAGCAGAGGAAATAATTATTCATTTTCTAAGCTCCCTAGCTCCATCTAGTGGCTGTAATATAGAATTTTTCTGATATCACATTCAACTTGAAAAGAAAATCTAGGAGATGAATTTTTGCCACTATTCGCACATAACAAATGTTCACAGGGTTTTGCAAGACAAATGCCACTGCAAACTGTTCATAAATACACCCCTAAGTGTTCCCATCCCACACAGTGATTTACATCCTTTAGGTCTCAAACACTGCAAGACTCACGATCGGTAAAACAGAGCAGAACAAATATTGTGCAGATACAAAATAATTGTCCCCTCTAGCAGAAGGAAGTGGTAAAATCTGAATGTCTTGCTGCGTTCATATGAAGTTAAGAGACCTTGTCACAGGATGGACTACACCATACTCTCCAGATTTTCCAGTGACATCTGGTCCTGCTCTTTCTCTGTAATCTTCTGGCTTCTGGCATAGCTTTCTTGATATTCCGTCAATAAGTTCACAACATCATGCTGCTGAAACCTGATTGCATCTTCTAAAGGGGTGTTACCCCACCTAGGAATAACAGAGGCAGAGCATGCTGAAAAGATTAGGTAGTTCCTCTCACAGTCTTTCATTCTTAAACATTTAACAAATTCTGTTCATTGTTTTGATAAATGAAATGTCATTCACTATGGCACATGGTCCACTGTACTGTATATGACTAAAACCCATATTGTTCCATCAAAGTGTATGTCTAGCCCAAACTTTTTGTTTTTATGTTTGGATAGTAGGAAGCATTAGAACCCTGGTCAGTTTGTTAAGGTGGCCATACACTTTACAACCCTCGCAAGACCTTAGTCTTGCGAGGGTTGTAAAGTAATTAAAAACATTTACGATCTGCCCATCTTGGACAGGCAGATCGTACTTGCGATCATCGCAAAGCCCGCCCCGCTGAGGGTTGGACTTCCGATGACCGCAATGCTGAACGGGCAGTGTGAGCGTGCGCACACTGGCCCGTTCTGCATTTGTCTCCCGAGCATTCCACAAACCAGCCGGAAATTGTAAGATTTTCGGCTGGTTTTCGAACATGCTCCTTAGACAAAAGACGTGGGACCGTACAGTAAAAATGGCCACACGCCTTCCATACACTTTGCGATTATCGTACGATCGCAGGATTTCCCGCGATTATCGTGTGATAATCGCACAGTGTATGGGCACCTTTAGAGAGATTTCCCCCTGTCTGACCTCCTGACAATGATTTCACCAAACAGGAAGTGAGGGAAAACCTTCAACAGCAATACATACAGAATGAGTAGGAGCCACAGAAAGCACTAAGGGCCAATGCACACCAGATACGTTGGGGCTGCGCTGGTCGTTGTTTCCAGCGCAGCCCCAATGCAAGACAAAGCAATTTGTCTTGTCATTGATGGGATAGGTTCACACACTGCGTTGCGATGGGAATGCAGTGGTGTGCTCTGAAAAAGCACAGTGGGATGCGACGCAGTACAACTGCCTTGCACCGCGCTATGCCCAAAGAGCTGAATGAAATGTAATTTGTAACATTTTTTTTTGGTAGAACTTTATTGAAATGTACCGGGATCGCACACGTCGGGCAGCACACACAAACCATTGTGTGTTTAGACCACTGGCTGGTATAAATTGGACCATAAATCCAGACGTTCTAATCCTTCCTTATTCTATTCAGAAATTAAAAAAAGGTTTTGGCCAATGTTTGCAAAAAAATAAATAAATGCACACTCCACATAAAATAATGTATTTTTTATGCATTGGCGCCAGTAAAGCACTGCAACCGTGATCAGTGGATTGTGGGTACCATGCTGTGGCTCCTGCTTCTATGGGTGCCTTTAGTAATTGCAACTAGACTACAGAAAAATATCATTCTGTCTACAGGCAAGCATGAGTATGAAGCTCAGAAATTTTTTAGGGCAGCCTTCTCGAGCAGGGTGCCTTCTAGCTTCCTCAGGGGTGCCAGAAAAATGTCACAACATCAGGCCTGTAATGAGAAGAGTGCTTGTGATGTGAAGGGGGGCTCCTGATGTGAAAAAGAGGGGACTCTAATGTGAAGAGGGTCTCCAAATTATTATTATTATACAGGATTTATATAGCGCCAACAGTTTGCGCAGCGCTTTTATATAGCGCAAATTAGTAGGTCTCTTGATGTAAAGGGGAACTCTGATGTGAAAGTGGGGACACTGATGTGAAGCAGAATGTAAACCCCACATTTGCGTTGCATTTTTGCTTGGGGTTCCCACTTAAAAACCATGCCTGGCACCTTATCTGGGATAAGGGTCTGGTATGGATTTTGGAAGGACGACACGTCATTTTTTTTTTGTATTTACAGTCTTTATATTTTAGACTGGGGTGCCCAGAGATTTTGCATACTTTTAAAGGGTGCTGTGACTGAAAAAAGGTTGAGAAACACCGGTCTAGACAAATAAAAAAATAAGTTGTGCGAAAGCTGGCAAACAAAATGCACAGATCAATAGATTACTATACAGTGTCAAACCATCTGAACATCTCGCCTGCAAAATATTGCTTGTGCTATGGCATAGGCTACTTACTGGTGTGGGGCAGACAACCCTATAAAAGGAAAAGCTTTAGTATATCTTAGAGTGGGTACACATATTATTTTATTATGGTAAATATATCTATTGATATGCTTGATAAGTCATATTACCATGACTGTATTACATTTACCCTCCAGTGGCTTTGTTTGTGGCAGACAGTGCAATTAGCATCCTTACTAAAGGAGAACTATGTGGTCAGTGTTTTTCCCCATAGTTCTCCTTAGGGTAACGGGAGGACACAAACTAGCGTCCTCCCGTTACCCTAAGCTCAGTATACCGCGAGCTACAGCTCACGGTATACTCAGACGCCGCAGCCGGAGTGGATCCCGACGTAGATGACGGGATCCGCCCAGCTGCGTGAGTGACAGCTGGCTCTGCCTATCTAGAGGCAGAGCCAGCTGTACCCGCCCCGTCCGTTCCGCCGGTCAGCGCTGGCCGATCGGAGAGGGGAGTCCAGCCCCTCCTCCTGTCACGGCAGAGAGCCGTGACAGGATCGAGAGGCGAGCGAACCCGGTATGTGTTCCCTCACCTCCCGTTCTACTGAGCCGACCTGTGACAGTCTCATTGTCACAGGTCGGTTAGAACTATGAGGTGAGTGAAAAGCACTCGCCTCATAGTTCTCCTTTAAATAACTACAGGATAAGCCACAAAGGGAAACTAGATTGCTACAACATTACTACAAACTTGTAAGACCAATTTGTACTAAGCTGGAAATCAGGTTGCTAGAGAGATGTCGCTTCAATCTGGTTCTCACAATAAATATCTAAATTACTGAGCAGACCCTTCCGGGAGTGAAAGAAAAGATTTTAACTTCCCTAAAGAACCCCATCAAGACAATCCATACAAGCAAACCTTTCATAACTTACCTATCTTCCATAAAAGGGTTCACTCTGCAGCCTTGTATGAGAAACCTAACCACTTCTGAGTGTCCTGAGAAAGTGAAAAAGAATTTATTTAGACAAACTCCAGGGAAGCCATAACTGACTTGTCCAAACCATGTCACTCACCTTCAGCAGCTGCTACATGAAGAGCTGTCCGGGAGTCATAATCTTTTTGCTCCATGTCCATTGAAGACAATGCAAACCTGGATGAAAATGTGCAGTCACAGTCTGATACTTATGAAGAACTCTAAGGATCCACTCACACTAATGCATAAGGTATATACTTTACATGTCCTATATAGGCATGTGAGCCACACATCACTCAGAACCCATTGAAGTAAGTAAATAAACGGAGGGTGCATTTAAACACTCATTTTTATATGTCTTACTGTTGCTATGTGCGCCGTTCGTCCCCAGTTCCAGTATAAAGTCCTGAGCCCTACCTAAAGGCTGCTTATAACAACCAGTGCTCTCTGTCTGGAAGCAGTGGCCTCTCTGCAGCAGTCTGACAAGCTTCATTGCACAGCAGTAGCTGTGACTAAGCAGGGTGCATATCAGATCACTGCAGAGAGTCTGCTGCTTCTACACAGAGAGCAGTGGTCTTTATCTGCAGCCTCCTGGTGGGGGACATGACTTTATACCGGTCCTGGGGATGATTATATGCAGAACACATTTTTAGTTTATTTACATACTTTGACAGGAAACCTCAATTCAACTTTATAACTATTCATGACAATAACACATATTGCCACAGCACCAAAAAACGTGACTTTAATAGCAATTTGCCAAGCACACCCCCTGCTTCCTTGCACGTCACTACCCTCTTGTCTTCTGGGAGTGACTACTTATTCTCTGTGCTGGGCAAGCTCCCATGCCCCTCTCTTCACCTCACCACATAAGCTTTTATGTAGCTGCCAGGGGAGGAGTCAAGGGAAAAACTATAGCGTGTGTCTGCTGGGGCTCCTGACAACACACCCAACATGGTGGAGCTCAGATGCAGTCTCAGGCCATGAATGTCTACACAAGGGGGAGTTTTAAAGGTAAATAACATGCATAAAATACATTGAATGAACATAGCATCTTGTGGGAAGATTTTGTTGAAATTCCTTTAAAACCTATTCTGTACCATATGCAGGAAAATCCACGTACGTGTTAATGTCAGTGTTTATATTTTAGGTTAGACCTGGTATTGTTCATACATGTCTTTGGTCTCACCTCCTCAAAGCGGAAACATCACCACTATAGGCAGCAAATAGAAGGTTCACCACTGTTTTATGCTGCAGACAGAAGAATTCAAGAGTAATATTATCTTAGATTATCTGCATAAAAACAAACAAGAAGCAAGACGGTGTCACACATATCAACCAAACCTTATCCCTCATGCCCCGCCTCCCTGTAAAATGAAGACAATTCTTATTTATGGAAAGGCCAGCCTAAATGCAGACCAGACGGTGGTGGGATTGTGACTGCACGTCTGACCGGCTGATTGTGTCTATGACCAGTCTAAGCCATTGAAGGACACAATTAAAATGTATGTGTAGCCAAAACATTTTTTATGAAAGGGTTAAAACCCCTGCCAGGTTATTTTTTGCAGCCTGTATTTCATTGAGAATATTTACCTTCAGTTCCTGTTCCAGAGATACGACAGGAAGTCTTTCAAATTGAGGGGAATTCTCCTCTAAAGCTGGCCATATACTAGTAGATTGCCCAATGAAAGATCTTTCTTTCTTTACAACCCGGTAATGCCATCAGACAATGAATGTGGAATGACATTTTGTTGTATTTTAACATTTGATTTTGGAAAGAATGAATGCAGTTCCCTGAATGAAAACCACATTCACTGTTAGAACTTCGTTTGCTCAAGAAAAATGTCCTATCCTGTTGCTTCGAGTTTTTTAATCTCTACGGTTGAAATCGATCATTGATGTAATCCCATCACCTAATAGGAAGTCAAAAGAAAGATCTTTCTAGAAAAGTTTGTTCAGAAATCTACTAGTGTATGGCTAGCTTTAGACACTTGTTCCCGGAACAGAGGTCCCCATTGGAAAATTTCCCCCAACTCTAAAATGTGGGATTTCCCTTCATATCTTTCTCTGGTGACAATGATCACCAGTATAAATAGAAGTCTATTCGAGGTCTATTTGTTGTCCCAATGGAAACACACACAGCAATTCAAACTTGACAGACTGCCTAACCCTCCCCTACTCTATCCAAAACTAAACAAAAAAAATGTTTGCCCAGAAATACACTTTAATCTGTGTGCTTCATTTAAAGCTCTTTTTATGTTACGCAGGAGATACAGAGATGACAACTAATAAAATGTATATATGTCAGCACTGCAGGCCTTTTACAGTAGGATTTTATTACATCGTGTACAGTACTGTGTCTGTAGTATGAATCTAAAAACGTCTATACTGGATCAGCTTCAGCATTTGGCTACAGAGAGCCCCCCTGGAACTACATTTATGAATATAAGTATGTCAACTTATAAACATTATAATACCTGAACTTCACGTCTCTCCTTACGGGGATCCAGTTTTCTTGCACAGTGCCTTAAGTTGTCATAATTGTGGAAATTGAAGACAGAAACCAGTTCCTACAGTAAACAAAACAGTTACATTGTACACGACTGAGAGAAAGCTCAGAGTAAGGAGCACTCGTAGCGTTAATACTGCCTAAAGTAATACTTGATTTACAGCTTGTAGATGCTATACTGAAAAGCAAACTGTGTCTACAAAGCTGTCAGCAAGCTTCCAGCAGCATTCTTTATGGCCCTATGGAGAAACTATTATGTGTTGGGTCTATTTTCATCATTTATTTTTGTTGTTTATATGTTTTACAGTTGTGTTTTTTATCTGTTTATTTACTCATTTGGTAATCTAGGGGGGAGCATAGATTAAGCTTCATGCTTTTATGCTTGCTTTGTCTAACTGAAGCCCTGGAAGGAGCTGTGTACACGGAGGAAATGTGAGGAAGATGATTAACTCTACTGACTCATACAGTTGTATAAACATTGCAGCTTGAGCTATTGAGCTTTGCAAACAACAGTCTTTTTTTCCAGCAGTAAGGAAACACGGGAAAATGTGTGAACAGAAACTGAAAGCTCCACCTGCTGGCTGAAAAGGAGAATGCATAGTATTAATATGCAAATTTCATATCTATCTATCTATCCATCTATCTATCCTGTATGTATGTATAATATTTTGCATTATATTTTTAGTCCTGACCGTAATAAATAAATGTAAAAAATAACCAAATTCACTATACATTTGAAACACTATTCTGCTGCATTTGGGATTGTTGAAGGCAGGAGTGCTAGCTGTCACTTTAAACAAGCTATTTACAATGTTTGCTGAAAGCCAACTGTGAGCTGATTTAGAGTAGCAGCCAGCACTATCAGTAACATCTGTGTTAACCTTTCTAGACTATTGCAGAAGGGTCAAGGGTTTATTCACATTTGTCCTTTTTGATGCAGTAAAATTCTTGCATTTTGCTGTACAATAATGCATGTAAAGCAGAAATCCTATTCTTTCCAAGTGGTTGGTTCACATCTATGTGATGCAGTTTAGTGAGGAGGAGTGCCCCTGATGTCATTGGTTGCTAGGATGCTAGTGGTCCTAGCAACTGACTGAAAAGGAATGTGGTCCAGACATGGGCTGATTGCTGACCTGCTCTGTGCTATGGTGCATCCACTGTCAGCCAGCATAAACATCCACTGTCAGCCAGCAGGTCGGCAATCAGTCTATAAAATGCTGAGGTCTGGCTTACAGTTGTCCTTATCAGCCAGTAACTTTGCATTATCACACAACACTACTGCCATTAGATGGAGCCGAGCATAGGAGATTCCTACGCTCCTCAGCACCATCTAGTGGTGGTAGTCGCATGTGAACGGCAATGACCCAGCTATAAGACTTATAAATCAGCCCCTACGTTTCTGAATGCTTATTTGGAAAGATTTTCATTACGCAAGTACACAGCAGCACTGCATGCGCTATGATATAAATTAAACCCCATATCCTCCCACGTATTCCATGTTTTTGATATATACATGCTCAGTGGTATAATATGTTGTACCTCAGTGCTGATAGCAATGAACAGCCCTTACTTGGCAGAAGTGAATTCCTCGCACACTGTTCCCAATTCTGTCCAGAAGAGGTGACCAACAGAAAACACCCATTATATTGGGCACCACCAACAAGATGGCTCCTGACACACCAGATTTGGCAGGTAATCCCACCTGAAAGTCCAACAACAATAAGCAATTATATTTAAACAGGCTGACAATAGGCAAATCTATACTGAAGGCCGACCACTGCTTGTATAAAATTGGGGGGAATTTATCAAAACTGGAGCAGATTTGTACTGCAACCAATCAGCTTCTCTGTCTCCTTTTCTAATCTTACCAGAGCAAATTGAAGAGAGATGCTGATTGGTTGCCATGGGCAACTGTTCCAGATTATGTCTGCTCCAGTTTTTATAAATTCCCCCAATATATTTAAAGAGATGTTACATCTAGTCAGAAGTTTAATAATAGTACAACCCCTGAAATCTGTGTCAGTTCACTTTCTGTAATTTTATATAACATTTTCAATTAAATTTGTTCAAAGAAAATTCAGTTTACATGCAATTATATGAATTGATGCACTCTAAATGCATATAAACGCAGCGTTGGCACTGCTAGTGTGAATGAGGCCTAAGCAAGGTACTTACTTTTAAAAGCTGCCATTTTGGGCTCATTTTTAAAGACACACTATTCACTTTATTCCTATTGTACTACCTAGTGAGTCACCAACCTTGCAATGTGTTTCTTGGATGTAATTTCCCACACACTCTTAGATGTCAGGACACATGATCTGCCCATGATTGTCCAGGGTCAGTAACTCACTTGGTAGTGATGCGATGGTGAAGCTGGCAGCCTGGGAGCCTGCAAGATCATAAATGACTGCTCCCATATTTCTGTTCTGACAGGTTCTCTTTGGGGGGAAAAGGTCACTATTCTTCCTCAGGGGAGATTATAGTGGCTGGGGCTGAGCCTATGGGCACATTCACCAAACATTCACCACAGCTGAATCTTCTTATTAAATGTGTTTTAATGTACAGTGAATATTGCACCACGAAGTCCATTGAGTACAACCAATAGAAATATATACAAGCACAACAAAGTCATAGAATCGATGTTCACCTTTCAGCAAATACAGTATATGGGCACTGCAACTGACACTGCAACTGAATATCAGGGCACTGAACAGCAGTTTCCTAAGCTGGCCAGAAGATGGCGCCAGATACTAATACATTTGTACAATGTTCACTTTGCTCGTTGCTAGGACCCTTGGATTCATGCTGGCAAAAGGAACATTTTCCACTTTTGATTGAAATATGAATTCAATGTATAAACTGACTCTCAAATATTACAGTCTAGTGATCAAACATATATTATATGGAGGATCTGGTATGCTAGCTGAACTAGAGATTTGTATCTCAAATGACCACATACTACTACTACTACTACTACTACCACTATTACTACTACACTGCAACTACTGCTATTAATACTATTATTACTACTATAACTACTGCTACTACTACATTTACTAAAACAACTACTGCTGCTACTACTACATTTACTACTACTACACTGCAACTACTGCTACTACTACATTTACCACTAATACAACTACTGCTACTACTACATTTACTACTACTACACTGCAACTACTGCTGCTACTTAATTTACTACTACTACACTGCAACTACTGCTGCTACTAAATTTACTACTACTACATTTACTACTACTACACGGCAACTACTGCTACTACTACATTTACTACTAATACAACTACTGCTACTACTACATTTACTACTAATACAACTACTGCTACTACTACATTTACTACTACTACACTGCAACTACTGCTGCTACTAAATTTACTACTACTACACTGCCACTACTGCTGCTACTAAATTTACTACTACTACACTGCAACTACTGCTACTACTACATTTACTACTACAAATACTGCTACTATTACATTTACAACTACTTCTATTACTACTTTTACTACAACTACTGCTACTATTATACTACTACTATTGTTACTACTACAACAAATACTACTATTAATACTACTATTACAACTGCTACTACAACTACTGATGATTTTACTGTTACTACTAATATTACTGCTACTACTACTAATATTACTACTACTACTACTACTAAATTACAATTTTCTGTGAAATAAACTTGCCATTTCCTGTGTCTCTGTGCCAGGAGCCCTGTAAGAATTAAGCATTTTAGTGTGGTCTTGGCATGTCATGTCTGAGAGACCAAAGAAAAAAACAAAACTCCAGCAATGCAACCCTTTACTGCCTCTGTGCACCCTGCTGCAGGTTAGCATGATGTAATAAAGGACATGGGCACAAAGAATGTCAGATCCTAAAAGCTGTTTTTCTATGGCAAGAAAAGTAGGGAAATTAAATGGAAAAAAAAAATGTATGCATATTTTGAAGTAAACTCACGTGAAAGGCAAACTGTCCAGAGAAGTCATACATGCCGCAAGAATGCATGAGACTCAGGGTGTTCCTCACTGCTTCTGCACTTAGGACCCGATCGCCTGTGATGGGGCAGATACCACCATTAGCCAGAGTGGCAGCAATCACACTCCCCGACTCACAGGTCACCTCAATGGAGCACAGCTAGACAGAAAGGACATGGGCATCATAAGAAAGCACAAGAGAGCACATTATTCTACACAGAGGCAGAAACATTCCTAAATAAATCCTGTATTGATAGACTATTGTGGCTTGCATTGCTGACCTCTCCTGCTAAAGATGCTAGTCACCTGTCAATGATCTGGGACAAGTATGAAGAAAAGGGTTCATTCTGATTTGCATGATTGTTCCACATCAGTGACCCAGAACATACATAAAGGTGCCCATACACTGCACGATTCTCGTACGAGAATCGCGGGAAATCCTGAGATCCTATGATAATCGTGCAGTGTATGGAAGGCGTGCAACCGTTTCTAATGTACGGTCGCGCGACTTTTGTATATCGAGCATGTTGGAAAACCAGCCGAGAATCGTACGATTTTCGGCTGGTTTTTAACATAATTGAGAGATCACTGCCGAACGGGCCAGTGTGCGAGGGTTGTAAAGTGTATGGCCACCTTTAGAGACAGCCAGTATTTTTAAAGGAGATCAACAACAGCAGTGCCCCTATATCTCCCACTACAGGTTTACTTGGGTGTGTTCACACTATTGGATTGTGACAGCTCTGGCAGTGTGCGGTGTGATGCACTCAGCGCATTACACTGTTTACTTTTTTCCCTTTTTTTAACTTTATTTAGAGTATACAACTATACAGCGCATCACACCACACCGCAGATTACGTGTGGTGTGAATGGGGCACATAAACAACAATTGTTTTCTATGTACCCAAACAGTGACTGGAGTTGCTCAGTTGCTGAACAACACCAGTCACTGCATGCAATGTGAACAGGCCCTCAATAAATTGAACAAAAATCAGATTCACAATTTTCAGGGTCAGTTCAACAAAGCATAGCATGTGCAGGTTTGCCATCTCCGTGTTTTATTTGCTCAATTTAACTTTCACTTCACGAAAGGTTTTATTGTAGAATCAGCTGAATTGAACCTGTATACATTATTATACAAAATGCTGTGCCTAAACTTTATTCACAGAGAGTATCACACACATATTCACCCTTTACAATATTACTAGTTTCTGGTATTAATTAAGAGATTCCATGAGGTGTCTAAGGATGAATTCAGGAACTGGAGCCATTTGAGATGAAAGTGAGATAACTTCCCATTGGAAAAGAAACAATGATTCATGAGAATTACATGCTTGCAATGGATTATTAACGATTTCCTGTGAAAAAATAGGAATTCCAAACCATGTGATATTTATATACAGTATACAGTATGTGAGTTGAACATTTTGATGACAAATTTATGATGAGATAAAATAACAAACATATACAAAAGTATATCTAAAGCCAATACTTTTTTTAAATTTTAGTTAGAGTAGGAAATGGTAAAGCTTTTTGTTTTGTTTTGTTTTGTTTGCGATGTGTGTCCCATTATTGTATTTTTCCTCCACTTCCTGCCCAAAACAAAACACTGAGAAGAAGTGGGAGAAGATCTTTTCAAAGTAAAGCTGGCCATATACTGTACGAACTTCGGACATTTCTTGATGAACTGGCCAAAATTCATTCAGTGGGTGGCCCTGTCGGCATCCTTCAATCAAAGAATTGAAGGAGAAGGTTGGAAAATTTTCTGGTGAACAGTGATGGCAGCCGGGTGCCATCACTGATCGGGTATTCTGACAGTGGCAAACCCAATAGCCCAGCGGGAGATTCGTCCATCCATGCTGTTTAGAATGGCTGGAGGAATCTGCTATATTCTTTTCGTTCAGCTTGCAATAAAAGATTTTCCCTCTAAAATGTTAGATCTCCCCACTTTCAGTCCCACAACAATGGTCACCAGGACAAATTAACAGTGTGAATCTCCCCAGCAAGGACACAGACAGCAAAAAAATCCTGACACCCTTCCCTACTCTATCTAAAACTTAAAAGAAAAATATTAATACAATTTGCTTTAGATATACTTTAAAATGTTAACTATCCCTATGGAGATTCATATGTAGCCTAGTGGACTGTTTATGTCAGGGCTAGTTCCTATCATCAGGGTTCAAATCTGCAGCACTTCCACAACTTAAAGGAGAACTATGGAGTAAGTGTTTTTCCCCATAGTTCTCCTAAGGGTCACGGGAGGACATAAACTAGCGTCCTCCTGTGACCCAAATCTCAGTACACCGCAAGCTACAGCTCGCGGTATACTGAGATTGCCACAGCCCTGACGGATCCTGACATTACTGTCGATCCACCCAGCTGCGTGAGTGACAGCTGGCTCTGCCTATCTAGAGGCAGAGTCAGCTGTACCCGTCCCCTCCCCCGTCCGTTCCGCCAGTCAGCGCTGGAGGATCGGAGCAGGGAGGGGGAATCCCTGCAGGGAGCCGTGAGTGACAGTCACGGCTCTCTCCAGGGAGATGATCGAGAAGTGATCGAGCGACGGTATGTGTTCGCTCACTTCTCGATCTATTGAGCCGATGTGTGACAGTTTCAATGTCACATGTCAGCTCAAACTATGAGGTTGAGTGAAAATCACTCACCTCCTAGTTCTTCTTTATGCCAGCTATTAGGCTCTAATACCGGGGTAGGCAACTTCGCCACTCCAGCTGTTGTCCCAAGAAGCACTGCAAGACTCTGACAGCCACAGGCATGACTCCCAGAGGCAGAGAATGATGGGATTTGTAGTTTCACCAAAGGTGGAGTGCTGAGGTTACCTACAACTGCACATTAAATGTGGACTTTTTGTTAACAAATAAGATAGGTTATGTCTAGTAATCTATTGTAACCATTCAGAAATAATGTTTCATTCTCTTAATCTCCCTACAATACTATAAAGTGTGATCTAGTTGGTTGCTGTGGCTTAGAGCACATGTATGACTTTGGTCTTGGTATTTGATATTAATATTAATACTTGGTATTAAACTAAGCCTCCTTAGCAAATGCATTTGTCTGTTCTACGTTATACAAATCCATAATAAAACAGATCTTTAGTCTCCAGTTATAGCTGAAAAAATAATCACCACATATAGGAACTGACCTGAAAATACAAATCCAGAGCGACCCCCATGTCAGCATTAGTAGGAAAGCACTAAAAGGAAAGAGAAAAAGAGAAATGAAATAATATATATGTTAATACAGAAATAGATATGACTTGTTGGAGTAAGGAATGTAGGAAACAAATGAATAACTGTAATTTATGAATAGTCATAGCCATAAACATGAACATGTTATCTGGTTATCTGGTACGTAACATTCTAAACAAATGCTCTTTGTATGGGTACAGTCATAAAATATCTTTATAGGACATTAGCGCATAGCTGGAGATGGTGATAGGAAAACTCCTCTGGGTTTTCTTGTGGATTCATCAATACATGATGAAGATTGTTTTAGTTATATTTGCTGCATGTACAGAATCAATATATCTTTATAGAGTCAGGAAGTTCTCTTTTGTACAAGCTGTTCCAGAATCTTACAGTAGATATAAACCCAAACACTGAAATGTAATTTAAACGTTAACATGTTGATGTAGTTTCAAAAAGTGATTTTCAATATTTAAAAATCTGCATCTTTCATGAAAATTAGGGATGCACCGATACCGATACTAGTATCGGTATCGGTGCCGAGTATTTGTGTGGGTACTCGTAATCGCCTAAATGCTCCGATGCCTAGCCCGATACCTGAACTTCCGGTATCAGGAAGCCGGGAAGTAAGTGATTACACGCTGCCCGGCTTCCTGACATGCCCCCCCATCACCTAGTGGGGCATGGAGTCGGCTTCCCAGTTTATTAGGAAGCCGGGCAGCATGTAATGACTTGCCGCCTAGCTTCCTGATTGGTCGGGAAGCCGGCCAATCAGGAAGCCGGATGGCGAGTCAGTACCCGCCCCCCGTCTTCCTAAATGGTCAGAAAGCCGGTTTCATGCTCCCTCGTCACCTACTGACGAGGAAGCATGGAGTCGGCTTCCCGGCCAATCAGGAAGCCGGGCGCCGTGTAATGATTCATTGCCCAGCTTCCTGATTGGCCAGCTTCTCGACTAATCAGGAACCCGGGTAACGAGTCATTACACGGCACCCGGCTTCCTGATTGGCCAGAAAGCCGGCTCCATGCTCTCTCGTCACTTGGTAACGAGGGAGCATGGAGACGGCTTCCCTGCTAAGCAGGAAGCCGGGTGTCAAGTCTTTACACGCCGTCTGGCTTCCCGGCTAATAAGGAAGCCAGGTGGCAAGTCATTACATGCCGCCTGGCTTCCTTAATGGGATTTCCGGTATCTGTATTCGGTATCGGCGAATGTATCTCATGTATCCTCATGTAATGTAACCTCATGTATCATTTCCCCCTCCTCTTTTAGATTGTAAGCCCTCAGGGGCAGGGCCCTCCTTACCATCTTGTCTTGAATTGAATTGTATTTTAACTGTATTGTCTTCCTTATATTGTAAAGCGCTACGCAAACTGTTGGCGCTATATAAATACTATGTAATAATAATAATAATAATACTGGAAAACAAATCGGTACTCGAGGTCGATACCGAAAAACCAGTATCGGTGCATCCCTAATTAAAATCATAGCTGGGGATTCTGTCATAAAGGGTCATAAATGGCACTTTCTGTTAACAGGGGACAACAGTCAGTCCCCATTTCCTAACTGTGCTCCTGCAATTGTTACCTTGTGACATTGGCTTTCGATGGAGACTACAACAGATATTACACAGGCATGATCCACTGGCCTATCACCTAAAGTATCGATGTTCAGATACCAGTGCTGATACTTGGCATTGTCATGAGAACTACCAGGGTTGCAGCGGATGCAGCTGGGACCTGGCCCTGGCGCTCCACCACTTTCCTGAAATCATTAGTCTGTATTGTTTTAGAAAAACTGTCACATGACAATAAACAGAAATGTATCAGTACTTGTATCTGTGAGTACTTGGACAAGCATCAGTACTTGTACTTGAAAAATGGTATCTGTGCATCCCTAATAAAGTATATATTTATAAAAACAAAATCGTACATTAAAACAGAGATGTACAAATCCCAGGAGCTCTGTGTGCTCCTTACAAATGACAGCTGCCTCCTAACTTTTGAATTTTTCTCTAGTGTAGTCTTGGAGCTAGAAAAGTATCTGTACTTGTCCTTGTACCGAGTACAGTACTTGCTATATGAACATCCCTAACCTAAAGGAAACCAACCCTGAGAAATGCAGTCATCACTGGAGATGGGGAAAAAAAACCTTTTTATTACAATCTCTGTTAACTAAAACATGGATTTTATCTACTAGGTGTAAAGTTCTCACATTCCAGTGAATACTCCAAGTTTATATCTGTCACACACCAACAAAGACATTTGTTGATAGTCAGGAGCAAAACCTTTTTAAATTTGACTAATGTATGGCAAATTCTGATCATTGTACTAGGTGCAAACAAAAGCAAAATCCATCCTACAACTAGTAATCTATATTACCGGAATGTCAGTGCCCCACTAGTACACTGGGGATTTTTATTGGATGTCCCAAATAGTGACAAAATAGTGACAAAATTAAGGAAGTCAATTTTCAATGATAGTCATGTGCTTCACTTGTCTAATTTTATACGGACAAGGCAGGGAGCACTGGAATATAAATTACTACCTTCTTCTCTTTCAGATAATATCCAATGGCGTAGTTTCGATCTCCTGTTTCCCTCTCGGACTGAAACCTGCAGAAGATTTAATATATCATACAGTTAGTAGGTACAGCAGGAGTGGCTGACAAAAGCCAGAGTGCACATGGTTTATATTTCACAGTGAGAGTGAAGCTGGTCATACACAGCTCTAATGACTCCGCACCACCCAGCTCAACAAAAGCTGATCATTCAATCAATTCTTGTTGAAGGAACCGGGTGGATAATTGTCAGCCAAACAGCGACTGGAGCAAAGCAGCTGAAGTCACTGTTTGGGTATTCTGACGGAGGCTGCCAGCAGTGAAACTACAATAGCTTAGCAAGAGAAAGAGGAATCTGCATGTTTAATTAAAGAAATCCATATGTGTATGGCCAGCTTAAGCTTGATTTACAAGACAGTCACCAGTGTAAATCTGTGTTTCCCAAGCAGTGATACTTTTATCTAAATCATAAAATACATAAAATGACACTAATCTCAGGAGTTAAATCCTAAAAGAGCATTCAAGTACCTTAACTATTAACAAAATGTGTGCTTATTTGTATCAGTTAGCTGTAGACCCTCAAATCAATCCTTCCTTCTGAAGGGTGGCTACTTTTGTTCCCCATGGTCCCTGTGTGTTGTAAGGTAGCCAAGTTTGCTCCCGTAATGAACTACAATCTCAATACAAAGTGGTAAATTAAACATGACATTGTAGTTCATGACAGGAATGAGCTTGGAGTGGTGACTACTTTACAACACACACACGGGGACCATGGGTGAACCAAAGTAGCAACCCGCAAGAAGGAAGGACAGTGTCAGCACCAATTCAGAGATGATTTGAGGCTCTACAGCCGAGCTATACACAAATAAGATACAATTTTGTTAATAGTTAGGGTACTTGAATGCATTTTTAAGATTTAATTCCTGAGTTTAGTGTCACTTTAAGCAAAAATCATGAGTCATCTATTATTTAATTGACAAGCTCTGCACTACAAGAGTCAGTTGAGACCAAGAGTAGGCTTCACTAAAATGTCCTAATTTACCATGTAGTTACTTATACTGAATACAATTGATAGAGATAGTAAAAATAATAAAGTCACAAGTATGTAGCTATATTAGAAGGTCTCTAGCGCTATTAAAAGACTTGAAGATGATAGGACACGTAGTTCTTTTTCTAATGTATAACAGGTTTGATGAACACACATTGTAGAAAATATTGGCAACCCAGAGGAATGCAAATATCGTCAGAAAAGATCAAGGACAAAACTTGCAAAACTGGAGTTTTACTTAAATGTAAATAAATGATTCAAGTCAAATGGGAAAAGAGAGATGGTGTGATTGTATTCAGTCAGACTAAAAACAGAAGGGTTGATTCACTCTTTTAGACTGTAAGCCCTCAGGGGCAGAGCCCTCCTTACCATCTTGTCTTGAATTGTATTGTGATTGTAATATCTTCCTTATATTGTAAAGCGCTGCACAAACTGTTGGCGCTATATAAATCCTCTATACTAATAATAATAAAGGAGTAGAACATTTTCACTTTTATCTTTGAATTTTATCTTTGCAAAGAGAATTATTTTCATTTAGCTTAGTGAATGAGGTGAGGTTGTGCTGACTTTAATCATGCAACTTTTCTTGCGCATGATTGCGGATTCTTTGCAAAGTGAAGTTGTTACTTTGTTTTACCTCATTCACTGTGAAGTAAAAATTCACTTTGCAAAGGGAAAATGCATTTTGAAAGTGGACATGCTCACTTCTTTAGTAAATCAGGGTCAGACACTGGCTTTACATGAGCATTGTCCATGTAAACTGTTTTTTTTTTTACAGATGGTATCTAGAGATTTATAGAGAGATCTGACATGAGAAATTAAGAACTTACAGCAGCAGTGATGTCCCTAAGGCTTTTCCTTCCTCAGGCAGTGTGTGAGGGGATTGTGCGAGATGGATGTTCTGGCCGGTGGGAGAGGGGGGGGGTTGCCAGGAGCTGGGCGAGATGCTGGCCAGAGCGTCCCAGGTTGCTAAGAGCTGGGCGAGGAGATGTGTATAGCCCTTATACGTCTCCCCGCCCGGATCTTAGGGATCTTAGAAAACCTGGAATGCTCTGGCCAGAAAGAGGACAGCACAAACATTGAAGCAGAGCCACCATGCCACTCTGCCTCCCGCCCTCCCCCCCTCCCCATGTGACCCAAAGAGATGCCGCCTGAGGCAACAGCCTCTGGCTGCCTTATTAAAAGGATGGCCCTGCACAGCAGCCTCTATGTACAGGTTCTACTATATGTGAAGGCAAGGGGAATGGCAAGCATTACTTTAAAAATAACATAACATTTAAGTAGAGACCACAAAAGCTTTGTACAAAGCAGAATCTGCATGGTATCCAACAGGAAAGAGACACAGTGGCTTTATAGAAGTGCTGCAGTTTCTAAAGCCTTGCTTATGCCATTGTAGTAGACATTTTCCATGCTTTCATACATTACTAAGAGAGATAAAGAACAAGCTAAAAGAAAGATGTTAGAGTGGAACTTTTGCCAGCAGGAGGGCTTTTATTTCAGAAGAGGCTTTGTCCATATACTTTTATAAAGTTATAGTGCCATGGTCCAAAGCAAGAGAAAGAAAGGAATGAGAAAAGGGGCAGAGAAATAAAAAAGGATGTGCAATGATAGATTGTAAGGATAGGTGCTGCCAATGATACAATTCAAGTTTCAGAAAAGGATTAAAGGTTTTATAGTTGTCAGGTCCTTTGAACTCTATCCAGGAGAACCATGTCTTAATGCAGTACTGGAGTCTGTCTTGAGTAGGTAAAAACATTTGTTCCATTTTAGTAATGTGACCTTATTACTAGTGTCTCTTTCATCAGTGTTTATGTGATCACACTTTCCAGTCCTGTAAAATAATTGTTTTAATGAACCATACACGTAATAGTGAAAAAGGGCTACAGGAATCAAAAATGCTTCATGTGGGGTTCTTACACACTCATATGAATTTAACAGACTTGGAATTTTAACTTTGACAGAAAATGATTTGGGGTTACAATATATATTGCAAATATATCAAATTAATAAGCCAGACACTTAAAGGAACAGCATGTGAGACCATATACAGACCACATCTGATTTTGCCAAGACATATTGTACTAGACGAAAAAGCACTGCGTAAAGGGCCAAATTCAGTAATGAATAGTAAATACAAGATGAACCCTTTGACGGGCCATTTAACAATATTTTGAAGCAAGTTTTATTTCCTTGTTCCAGATGCAGAACTGTGATATGGCACCTGCAACACTATCATCACTTATGCTCCTTTGCACTGAGATGATTCAGATGTCCTCCATATCAGTGATGTGCGGTACCTCTGGTTCCGGGTGAGGCATTCCCCAGCCTCGCCCCAGCACGTCCCACCTCGCCGGCCAAAGCCCCACCCCCGCTGGCCAAAGCCCCACCCCCAACCCGGTCCCCAAGCTAGTGTGAAGGGAAAGGGAGGAGATAGGGAGGAGCCTCCCTGTGCCTCACTTACTTGTCACTGCTGAGGCATCGAGATTTGTTTTTGTTTTTTTTGATTGGACAGCTTGGACCAATGGCACTTTGCCATTGGTCCAAACCATCCACAGGGCTCACGCCTCAAACAAAGAGTAGAGGCTGTGACAGCTCTTGCCTCAGAAGTTAGGTTACACAAGCAGTGGGGAAGCCCGCTGGAGTGTAACCTAACTACCTGTCAAAAGCCGGATGCAGCGATGCCTGTAATCAACAGGCAACACTCCATCTATGACAGGATACACAGCGGGGAGGCTTTCCCTGCTGTGTAACCTACTAGAAGCCGATCTGAATGGAGAAAAAGCCGTCAACTTCATACTTTTCCAGCCTTTTCCCCCATAATACTAGGCGAGGCTCTGCCTCACTTGCCTCCCCTGACTGCACATCCCTGCTCCCTAAATACATCCAATGCATTCAAAGGCCTCTTCTAAATTCTCTACTTTGGAGGTTGTGTTCAGCCTTAAGGGCCTGCATATCCTGTACCTGAAATAGTTACCCGACTGTCTGGTGGACAGTCACCCAAAAGCTCCTTCAATCTCCTTGTGGCTGCAGCAGCAACAGAATCAACAGCTCATTTTCAAACTGTTTCTGTTCCCATGAAGCTTGGTGCTTCAGTCCTACTGCAAACAAACAGATGGTCACACACCTTTTGCATGATAAAAAATACATTGATAAAGAAAGAGTGGGAACCTGTCATCACTGTTGCAGCAGGTTTGCATAAATGGGAACTTAAAGTGGACCTGTTCTTTGGCCAGTCAAAGCAAAGCAACAGATTCACTTAAATGCCACCTTCTTCATCCTTACATATTTTCCTTCCTTTCACTCCATCACTGCCCTGTTTGGCTAAAGAGAGCAATGAGAGGAAGCCCTGTAAAACCTCCAAGTTGTGACCTTGAGCTTACACACTGTCACATTTCCTCAATACACGTGAGTCGCATGACGTGACAGTGTTGGGTGTCTGAGCAGCCGATCTTTATACACCAGTGCTCTAGCGTGGGTGGAATATGAGAATATGAGTAAGTAAGAGTATGCTCCCTATACTCAGAAACACCATTTATATCTCTTCACCCCCAAACAGAGCGGTGGAGGAGCAAAGGGAAGGTATGCAAGGCTGGGGAAGGTTTCTGAGCAAAGCATAGGTTCACTTTTATTGTGCAGACCACACCACCAAATTCCCAAAGGGTTTTATCAAGTGGCATATTTTATATCACTAGTCAAAAACTCAACATATATTCTTGGTGGATTGATCATTTCAGCTTTAGTACTGAATACAACTGAACAGATTATTTAATAAAGCAATTAGCAAAGAGCAATTACCCACAGCAACTGGTAGTATTGCAATTTACTGCAGTCAGTTCATTGAAAGGTCATTGCTGATTGGTTTCACTGAAGTACTTTCTACACTTTGCTTTAAGCAATAAATTTGTATGACATCTTGGTTAAGGTGGCTTTAAAAACATCAAGTTCTGGGTAATTTATGGGAATGCGCTGAAAGGTAACCATGCCCATTAGGCCCTTTCTGTACAATAAACACAGTTGTGAAAGGTGGCAAAGATAATAAGATTGTTGATGGGGCTGAAACAAGCCCAGAACATTTTAGGTGTGCATTTCCACTAGAAGAAATTGAGCTTGGTCTGGTTAATAATACTGCAATGTTTCCTAATGTTAGTAAAGTCATAAGTACGGAACATGCAAAAACACATGCATGCCAAATAGAGCAGAACAACGGCGTTGTGGTTAGCGCTTCTGCCTTGCAGCACTGGGGGTCTCTGCTTTGAATCCTGGCCAGGTTACTATCTGCAAGGAGTTTGCATGTTTTCCCTGTGCTTGTGTGGGTTTCCTCCCACACTCCAAAGACATGCTGAAAGATTAATAGGCTCCTGTCTAAATTGGCCCTGTATGTATGTACAGTATGTGAGATAGGGACCTTAGATTGTAAGCTTCTTGAGGGCAGGGACTGATGTGAATGTAAAGTGCTGCGTAAAATTGTTGACGCCATATAAATACCTGTAATAATAATACATTTGTAGATGGGCATAACGGTCTAGAACAGGGGTCAGCAACCTTAAGCACTCAAAGAGCCATTTGGACCCGTTTCCCACAGAAAAGAAAAGACCGGGAGCCACAAAATGACATCTAAAATGAAGATTACACTGCATACATCATTTTTTACCTTTATGCTATGTATAGCATGTAAAAATATATATGTGGGCTTAGTAACGCACTGGACACTGGGCTTAGTAATGCACTGGGCACTGGGCTTAGTAACGCACTGGACTCTTGGCTTAGTAACGCACCCCCCCCCCCATGCACTGCAGGGGGCAGGGCATGTGACACACACTTCTCTCTCGCCGCCTGTGAGGTGAGTTACAAGACCTGCCCCCTTACTGAGACACCCGTCGGCAGCGCGGGGCCCCCGGGACCCTGCACTGTCACATATTCCACCAGGGGAGGTGCCAAGGACCGGACCTCACTGGGCCCCCCCCCACAGCCTCAGGCCCCCGAGGCCCCAGGGGTAGTTCCGCCCCTGGACAGGGAGCCGCAGCAGAGGGATGAAAGAGCCACATGCGGCTCCGGAGCCACAGGTTGCTGACCCCTGGTCTAGAAGAAGAAAATATATTTATACAATATGTTTTCTAACAGTTAGAGGATGACTCATGTCTATATTGTATCTAACTTTAAATGTTGCAAACAAGAGTTGATCAAATAGATCTAGTAATGTTAACAGCAGATATAAAGATGGTCTCTAACACTAGTGCAGTTAGTAACAAAACAGTTAAGGCTAAGTAATAAAACATTCCTATATTTGAGCTGAAAAACACAAAATCCCCTGATCTATAGAAAACATTATAAAGCAGGCAGTTGTTTACAATGTGTGACAGGATAATTACTGTGGGACATGCAAGCTCTCCACACTCGAGCTTGGCACCCAGACTGATACACCTGTCGTCCTTACGTTGAATTGTTGAAGCCAACGTATTCATTTCCCGACATCCTTTTCAGAAACTGCATAACCTTGAGTAAGCAGAAAAAAAGACAGATGAATGGAATTCTGGGCAAGAAACTAAGCCAGATTTAAAAAAAAAATGCAGTCTGCTACTCTGTCAGTTTTCCTTGTGTGTCGATTAAAGTGCACCTACACTCAGGTAGCTTATATCTACTACTACTATCCTTTAAACAGTGCAATGGATGTCAATTATCAATGTTATAACACTTCCAGTGGGCGTTCTGCAGATGCTCATTTGCCTAGGCTGATATTATGTTAAGCAACCACCATATTAATAGAAGCACAAGCTATCACAGGGAATCTACTCTTGCCCCCCTGATGATGCCATTGGTGTAATCCAGTAATCAGATGCAGGTAGCTACATAAAGACCCGGAAGGTAGATCAAATGTATCTTTAAGCACCTAGAAACAAAGTAGTCTTCTAGTCCTCTTATCTACTATGTTATATACTGTAGCTTAAAAATGTAGCTTATTTGTGCATCACTTGACTGTAGATCCTCAAATGATCTTTGATTTTGTGCTGACACTGTCCTTCCTTCTGGAGGGTGGCTACTTTCCTGTGTGTGTTGTAAAGTAGCCACCGCTTCAAGCTTGCTCCTGTGAAGGACTACAATCTCACATTTAGTTTACTAATTTGTATTGAGATTGTAGTCCATCACCGGAGCGAGCTTGGAGAGGTGACTACTTTACAACACACACAGGGACCATGGTGAACAAAAAAAGCCACCCTCCAGCAGGAAGGACAGTGTCAGCACCTTTTCAGAGATGATTTGAGGATCTACAGCCGAGTGATACACAAATACAATACATTTTTGTTAATAGTTAAACTACTTGAATGCATTTTTAAGATTGAATTCCTGAATTTAGTGTCACTCTTAACTTCAAGACATCTTGTATGTAGGACTGTCTGGAAGTGTATGAGAAGGTAGTTGAATGACAAAGAAGAGGTCAAGTGGTATTTGGTATTACATAAAATATAAAATATGCTTCATAAACCTTACAAGGGTCAGCAGGTCATGAAGTTCAGTATTTATCATATTTACAATATCTTGTAATGAGGCTGTATGACAGTCAGCTACAGTATATGGCATAATCACAAAGTAAAAAAAAACTAATTTGTAAAAAAAAAAGCCATGTGAATTGTAGATGGGGACAAGCTGATGTCCATCTGTGATTAGTGGATCTTGGAGTTCCCTATACTTTTAGGGCCTCAGTCTGGCCAGTCTAATGTCCTGACAAAATGACTGCATTAACAACTCTTATGAACTTTGTGCTAATGCCGTCTGTCATAGTGAAGTCTCGGGTGTTGTGAGGACAGGTTTACATTCCTAGTTAACTCATGGACACTCATTGACTCTCATCTTGTCCTTCTATGGTAACATATGACTTCATGCTGAAGATACAAAATCAGCAGAACACACAGCGCAAATGAAGACACTATTGAAAAGAAAATGAGCCATAGTGATCAAGATTACACAATCTGAGAAAGGAAGAATCAGGGCAAATATAATTAAAGGATACATTCATCTTTGTGATAAAAATCATGGTTTGTTGTCTTTGAAGGATTAGATGGAAAAAACAGTCCTAAAATCTTAGTTTCTGTGCACCACTACTTGCTTGATCATTCCTGGTGTTTTAAAAGGGCACTTATTCTTTATCTGTTGCTAAAATCTACGGACCATATGCCTTGTTATTTCCCGTTACTCTTGTTACAGCAGTGGGCGTGTTCCAAAATTTCAATGCAAATAGCACTGGCAGCATTGGCTTTGTAAAGGTACGTTCTACTACTAACCATACTTTGCAGTGTTACACATAATGTGGACCAGGGGTAGGCAAACCCCAGCCCTCCAGCTCTGGTGAAAACTGTGGTGTAAATCCCATTAGGCATTGCAAGACTCTGATGGTCACAGACATGACTCCCAGAGGTAGATGCACGATGGGATTTGTAATTTCACCACAGCTGGAGGGCCAGAGTTTGCCTATCCCTGACGTAGACTCTCAGCTGCCCTCCCCCTGAACTATCTATTACTATAGCCCCCAAATCCCCCACATACATTTTGGCCAGATTTTCACTTTAAAAGAGAACTAATAGCCAAACTTTTTGGTGTTAGTTCTCTTTTGGGTCATAGGAGGACATTTACTAATGTCCTCCATTGACCCAAAACTCAGCATATAGCGGGCTATTTCCTGCTATATGCTGACAGAGCAGAGCCGCACAGCAGCCAGGATTCACCCTGCTACCTGATTGACAGCGGGCTCTGCCTCTCTAGAGCCAGATCCGGAGTCAGCCTGTCCCCTTCCCCATCCGTCCCCCCCCCCCAGTCAGCACTGGAGGAACAGAGAGGGGAGGAGGGAATCCATGCGGGGAGTGGTGACTGACAGTCATCGCTCTCTTCAGGGGAAGATTGGGAAATGAGCAATCAGCGGTTTGTGATCACTCAGTTCTCGATCTATAGAGCCGACGTGTGACAACTGCAGTGTCACAGGTCGGCTATAATTATGGGGATGAGTGTATTTAATTCATCCCATATTTCTCCTTTAAAGTTGAACTCCAGGGACAAGTAAAATATATTCTTTAATAGTCACAAGTTTTATAAATCCAAATGCCTTTGCAGAACCAATTGTTATCTTGTTAAAGTAGTACTGACATCATCCCTGTGCAGCCCAAAGCAGGCCCCACACAACTACAGGCTGCCTGCAGAAAAATACAGGAGGGGGCAGATAGAAGACCTGCACAGAGTTAAAGTTTCACACTGGATTACTGCACAGATCTGGAATAAATATACAAAGCACACCAAGATTCAAAAAAGAATACAATATTTGCCTATCCTGGAATTCACCTTTAACACAGATACAGATACAGACTGTCTCAGACTATTTACAATAGGAGAGTTCTGTCAGGAAAGAGAAGATTCTGCACCTTGTCCCCTTCACCCCTGGCCTGCACATTGATCAGACGTAATCTAAACTCACAGCAAGGATAAAACAGTCTTCAGTTTACCTTCACTTTGAATATTTGTCACAGGAAGACACACACGTAACCACACTGATCTAAGGCCCATTTCACTCAGTCACTCAGATCGGGTCCCCCTGTCAGTTTTTCAGGCAGACCCGATCGGATGCCCACTGCAAGTCTATGGGCAGCCATGTGTAAACGGAGGGGCGTCCATTTACACCTAGTTACCCTTGACTCTGGTCAGGTCCGGCAAAACAAACGGATCAGAGATCTATTTTGCTGGACTGGATCGGGCCAAATTGGTGGTAATCTTATGTAAACTGACACATGTCCGTTTACATCTGATTCCCCGTACACAGTCATGGGGTCTGGTAACTATACAGCTTTGTTCTGCTGTGATCAGGAGCAGATCCCTGTGCGGATCTTCTCCTGATCAGTCTGTGTGAAAGGAGCCTTAGTCTTCTGATAGAGAACATGATGGAAAATGTGACATACTTACATAATCAAACTTTTCGGCCTTGTTTGAACCTTGCTAAAATAAAAATAAAATAATAATAATAATGATAATAATAAAACAATAGTTGTCATAAAAGGTGTGTGTAAATGTGTGTACAAGTGTGTAAGTAGCTGGACCTACAAGATGAACCATTGAACACTACAAAATGTATACAGTGAACCAAACTAACTTGCGCTAACGGAAATAGTAAAACTAAATTAAGATGGATTAAAATTTAAAATAGATATTAATAAAAATGTATACAACCTGCAAACAAACTCATGGGAATTAGCTTATACATTTTATAAGAACTTTTTCTTGCTTTTGCTAGATATTTGAATACATGTTTATTATTATTTCAACATTTTTAAGGGGGTGTCTACTAAACGTACATTTCTGGTGCATTTATTCCAACCTTGTTAATAAGCCCTCCTTACCATCTTGTTTTGAATTGTATTGTGATTGTAATGTCTTCCTTATATTGTAACTGCGCAAACTGTTGGCACTATATAAATCCTGTATAATAATGTTTCAATACTCTAAGTACCCCTTATCGTGGAATGTCTGAATAAAGTATATTTATTACAATCACCCCTTAGTTGTGTGTACATTTTTGCAGTTTATCTGTTTTGTATATACATTACTAGACATACTACCTGATATCCATTTTATGTATGATTTATTATTAAAAATCATGTTCTGGATTACTGCACTCCATTCTTTCCCTTGCTAAATAAACCGGATTGTTTTATCTGCATATGTGTAGGGGCCAATTCACACCATAGTGTTGCCCTAAACACATGTAATGTTTAGCACATACTATCAAACAGAACACTCAATGTGTAGTGTCGTGTGCTAGGTGCGTTGAACTGTCATTTATTTGAATGGAACCCCAATGCACCTCCCAGTGGCCTTTCTTTGCAGCCCTGTGCAACATGCAGTACCACAATACCATGCACTGCTTTTTTCATCGCACTCCAATGCACAGTATGCGGTACCAAGTTTTGCACTAAGTAGCAATACACAGCTGCCAGCAGGAGTATTGGGGTGCCATTCAAATGAATGAACATAGCGCACAGGTCTGCATGCTAAGTGTACTGTGAGATAGCATGCACTAAACCCGTGGTCGCATGTGTCTAGTGCAACACTATGGTGTGAATGGGACTTTACATAATATTGTGCTCTCAAGAAACAGTACATTAAACTAAAACAAAAACAGAACCACTAGTGTCACTGAAATGTGTCTTGCCGGTGTCTTGAGTGAACTTTCCCATTTAATACTACAACATTTGTAAACCTAATCAATGCAGTTTATGAAGCTGCATTGCCAGGACTACAGTGAGGTTTCTAATGGATTGCCATCCAATTTTCCATTTAACATGCTAACAGAGTGCAAAATTGTGACTGAGCCCCAAGCCAGTAACTCACCTACAATTGATAAAAGTAAAATTTGCATTTACAATATAGAGCTCTATTAACCTCATACACCTTCTTTGTTTAACAAACTGTACTTCAACCTGGATTCATACTTACTTTAATTAATGATGAAACAACTATTGCTCCGGCATTTACCATTGGGTTGTAGGGTTTATCTAATAAATAAATATAAATAAATAAATATGTAAACATGTTTCTATAGCAATGGACAGCAGCATTGTCACCCCGTGGGGAAGGTAGTGTTAAGCTGGCCATACACCTATAGGTTATCTGCGGATTTTCTATGGTCAGATGGAAAAAGTGCAACAGATTCCTCCATCTGTGCTAAACTGTGTGGATGGAGGAATCTCACACTGGGCCAACATTCAGTATCTTGCTGGTCGGCCCCGCTGGTTCTCAAAACACCTGAACAATGCCTGCATCCAATCAGATTGTTCCGGTGTTTTGAGAGCCAGCGGGGCAGACTAGCAAGATACTGAAGCTTGGCCCAGCGGGAGATTCCTCCTGTATTCCTCTAGTATTGGACCCTCATCAGAAGAGCCCAAGAACCCGCCGTCTTGGGTAGGGGATGCCCTTCTCGTCAGCTGACAGTGGAATTGCCATCTAGGTCTGCCTGTCGCAGGAGTGGTGAGAGGCCGATGGCCACCTGTTATTCCTAGATTCAATCTGTATCTACAACAAAGTTTGGGCCCCAATGTTGGCTAGCCTAGTGTATTGCTACTGGCCAGTAGCATAGGGACCTGGGGACATTTTGGACTGAGTCATTATTAGCCCAGTAGCCATAGTCAGTGGGTATCAGGAATCCTAAACATGGAATGCAATGTGTCGGCCATTACAGACTCTAAAAAAACGAGTTACTGGCTATTATGTCATTAAAAAATTAGATAGCTAAAATGACTCTAAACTCAGGATTTCAGTCTTAAAAATACATTCAAGTACCTTAACTATTAACAAGTATGTATCTTATTTGTGTATCACTCGGCTGTAGCAGAAGTGTATCACTCAGCTGTGTGCACAAGTAACCTGTGAAACCTCAAAAATCATTTTAGATGTTTTTGATTATATGTATGATAGCAGCACCTGCATAAAGATCTGGGATTTGTGTCAAATTTGGTCCTAGATTTGGCAAGTTTTGCTTGATGTATATACTTGGCTGTTTAGCAGAAAGATAAGTCCACCCAAACTGATTACTACATTTAGGTGGAGACAGGGATAGGAACATATGAAGAATCTAACCTGAGACTGGGTGACCTCTTCCCCGATTATTAGGTTTTCCAGAAGTGGGTTAAACCAATCAAAGACATCCAAAGCTGAGTTTTTAGTTCGTCTTACCATTTGATTGTACTGATTTAGGGTAAAGACACACAGTTAAAGTGACACTAAACTCGGGAGTTAAATCTTAAAATTACATTCAAGTCCCTTAACTATTAACGAAAATGTTTCTTATTTGTGTATCACTCGGCTGTACATCCTCAAATCATCTTTGAGTTGGTGCTGACACTGTCCTTCCTTCTGGAGGGTGGTTACTTTTGTTCCCTATGGTCCCTGTGTGTGATGTAAAGTAGTCACCACTCTAAGCTCACTCCTGTCATGGACTATAATTTCAATACAAATGAGTAAACTGAACATGAGATTGCAGTCCATCACGGGAGTGAGCTTGGAGCAGTGGCTACTTCACAACACCCACAGGGACAATGGGGGAAAAAAGTAGCCACCCTCCAGAAGGAAGGACAGAGTCAGCAGGAATTCAGAGATGATTTGAGGATCTACAGCCGAGTGATACACAAAAAAGATACATTTTTGTTAATAGTTAAAGGATAACTATGGGGTTAGGGCTTTTCCTCATAGTTCTCCTTAGGGTAACGGGAAGACACAAACTAGCATCCTCCCGTCACCCTAAGTTCAGCTACAGCTCGCAGTATACTGAGACGCCGCAGCTGAAGCGGATCCCGACAATTATGTCTGGATCCGCCCAGCTGCGTGAGTGACAGCTGGCTCTGCCTATCTAGAGGCAGAGCCAGCTGTACCCGCCCCCTCCTCCGTCCGTTCCGCCAGTCAGCGCTGGAGGATCGGAGCGGGGAGGGGGGTTCTCCTTTAAGGTACTTGAATGCATTTTTAAGATTTAACTCCTGAGTTTGTGTCACTTTAAAGGTAATAGGATAATACATTAACATTTATGACATCATTTTTGTTTCTAAATATAATTTGTATTTCTGTTTGTGTTGTTGTTGTTGGAGAGTTCCCCTAACTTTCTGTCTGGTAAAATGTTGTCAAGAAGGCAAGAAGTACTCTCTCTTTAATGCAGCCCTGAATAGCAGTAAGGTACTAACCCTTCCCTACTCCATCCAAAATTAAGAAAAAAGTTTTGGCTTGACATATATTTCATATCTGAATCCTATGAAACTAAGATTTTCGTCACATAAAAGAGTAATAAGCATAATTTAGTAATTCCCACCTTATTCTCTTATTACAAATTTCTTCAGATTTTCATGTTTTGTTAGGTGACAATAACTATATGCCATGAGGACAGTAGAGTGAATTGTATGGTGACATGTGCACACGAGACTCTGCACTTTCAATAAACCTGTAAGATCATATACTCAATCTGAATGTCACTCTTTAGATCCAGTCCATGTCTGATGGTGTTCTTTAAATGCTCCTTTGTAAGTCCCCGTTCACACTGCCGGCATTTGTAGCTCATATTTGTCAGCACGGACAAGCTTCGCACAAGCCTGTGAAGTGTGCGCCTCTTTTTAGGGAGATCAGCTCAATGTGACCATTATTCCTATTCCTAATCGCGCTAATCTGGCCAACAAAAGAAGGTCGTGTACCTTTTTCCAGCGATCGGCTTTTTTCTCAGCACAATGCCGTGCTGAGACGTGAACAGGGACTATAGAAATCAATGTGATTTCTTGTGCAAAGCTTTTCCGTGCTGAAAAATACAAGCCACAGACACCCTGTTGTGAACGTGGACTTAGGCAGTGTGTTTTTGTGTATATGTGAACCAAACGTCTCACCTTTGTCCATCTACAGTGCAAAGTGACACTCCCCATTTGTCAGAACTGACCTTGGCAAGCTGTGGAATGTAGTTAGCCACCTAAAGAGAAGAAAAATACATACGGTGATCGAAAACAAGACATTTAAGTTGCTTTTACACAGTTAGAATTTCTTACAAATGTTTATGTGAAAAATCTCATGAACATTCGATAATGACATTAGAGACTTGACCACTGTGGAAATTTCATTTGATTTTTAACATTCAGTTGTTGAATAAATGGATTTTCCTGATTGAAAACCACATTCAATGTTAACATTTCCATTATGCTCCTTTGATTATTTTGTTTCACTACTGTCGAAATCGATTGTCGATCTGTCCCAAACTGCTGCCCCCCACTCCTGTTTGCAAGTGCCTCCTTTACTTATCAGGCTGCAAAGGGGACACTTAGAAGTTAAATCATAAGGTGTTTATCTTTAGTTCATAAATGTTGCCCTTTATGTTCTTGTTATCAGCATTTAAAAAAAGTCTAAGTTGTCATTAAGCCCTCATTCACACTAGAAACGGCTGGCACCTACAGCTCCCTCCAAGGACAGGTGCTGCGCGTGATTAGTACGCAGCCCCCGTCCTATAATGAAAAAAAATACACACACACACACTCACACAAACGTATTATTAGACATGTGCGAAGACTAAAAAATAATTTCAGATGAAATGAACGAAAACTAAAAAAGCTTTCATTTGTTTCATCAAACAAAACACTTTTTTAATGCTATTTTGGATTCAGCCATTAGCGTGTTCTGGAGAAAGGGCGCATGACGTCATATAACACCGCACGTGTTGGGCGCCGCCATCTTGGTGGGGCCAATATCGGCAGGTGACGTCACCTGACGCCAGGCATGCATGGCATCATGTAACGTCATGCTCCCTGCCTCCAAGATGGTGGCACGCATTCACAGAACACGCCTGTGGCCAACATGGCCGCCGCACATTCTCAAACAAATTATTATGCGCCTGAATACATTTTTCGTATATTCGGACATATAGTAATTAATTCATTTTACAAGTAGTCGTGGTTTTGTGTTCTGTTTTCTATTTTTACTTTTCTAGATGCACTTACTTGAAAAAAGGGTGTCGGCATGACATCCTGACACTTTATTTTTATAGACTCTATTTTAGTTTGAAATTTATTGTTTATCTTCTGTTGTTTTATTTGATAAGAATACTTATATTGTGCCTACGAGTTTAATACCTTTGAATAAAAGTTTTATTTTTATCATACTTTTTAATATGTTTCTTTGCGGCTTAACAAAATAGGAGTCTTTAATTGGTGCGGATATTGGGAAAAATGGGTGGTGTTACGGGGGTGTGGTCACTAAAGGGTGTGGCCACTGAGGGGCGCTGTAAAGCTTTCTCGCACAGGGCGCCTAAAGGCCTAAGGCCGGCCCTGCGTACGCCCCCCCTATGCTCCCCTCAAGTGCAGGTCCGTGCGGGTGGGTGTTTCCTGGCTCGGACGCAGACAGGATCCATCCTGTCAGTGTAAGAGTATGCGCACCCGAACGGACGTGCACTTGAGCAGGGCTGCAACAACTAATCGACTAAATCGATTATAATCGATTATTGAAAAAGTTGTCAACGTTTTCAATCATCGATTAGTCGGCTTTCGAATAGTTGGTCCTGTTCACGGCTCCACACACGCTGCGCGCCGCACCTCCTCCCCACCTCCCGCTTGCCGCTGCCAGACCCGCATCCACTCTACCCACGCCACACCTCCTCTCCGCCTCACGCTCACCGCCTGCCCACATCCACGATCGGCACAGGGACGCGGGGAGAAGTAAGGAGGAGCAGGTGTGGGGGGATGACAGCCGCCGATAGACAGGCCCGATCTCAGAAGCAAGTTGCTGGAAGCCTGCTCAGGTAAGCCTGCACTTTCCCACACATGGTGCTCTATAATGTATTGCTGGGATTTGTATTTCTCTATAGCTGATAGTGCATTGTGTTGTGCTGTATATTATATGGAACAATGTACCATCAGCTATAGAGGAATACAACGAATCCCAGCAATAGTACATTATAGCTGGTGGTATTCTGCATAGCGATGTATACTGTACTATTGCTGGGTTTTGTAGTCTTCTATAGCTAGTGGTATTCGGCATAGCACCACTGTATAATGTATTATTGCTGGGGTTTGTTGTACTCCTCTATAGCTGGTGGTATTCTGCATTGCGCTGTATAATGTATTATTGCTGGGGTTTGTTGTACTCCTCTATAGCTGGTGGTATTCTGCATTGCGCTGTATAGAGGACTACAAATCCCAGCAATAATACATTATACAGTGGTGCTATGCCGAATACCACTAGCTATAGAAGACTACAAAACCCAGCAATAGTACAGTATACATCGCTATGCAGAATACCACCAGCTATAATGTACTATTGCTGGGATTTGTTGTATTCCTCTATAGCTGGTGGTATTCTGCATTGTGCTGTATAATGTACTATTGCTGTGATTTGTAGTCCTCAATAGCCGGTGCCATTCTGCATTCATTGCTGTATAATTTTACACTTTCCATTTCACTATATTGCACACCACACTTTTTTTTTTTTTTACTTCCACCGTTCCAAGCTTGCTCCTGTGATGGACTACAATCTCAGTACATGTTTATGTACTAAACTGTTTGTCTTTGAAAGCAGCCATAAAAATAATGTAACCAATATCCAATATTGCTCAATAAAGTTGGATCAAGAAACCATTGCACATCTGTTGGTCATTCTGCAGCATGTGTAAACACTTCCTGGTTAACAGTCCTTCTAAATGCCACCAAGGCAGCCATTTATGTTTAAAGATGAGTTGACCAACAAAGATGTCTGATGGCATTAAAATCATGCCTGCATTTCCTGTTGCTTTAGGCTGGCCACAGGGCTTTAAAAAGCAGTGAAAGGTGCAGGCATGATTCAGGTACATGCTCTGAAGCCCATAGACATGTACGTGCAGATCACTTTATCATGTATGCCCATACTATTAAGTCAGGATTGACACTTTTTGATCAACACCTCCAGTGTAGAAGAAGAGTGATCTTGCCAACACTTCCACAGACATTGAGTTGCAATAGAGTGCCTCTAAAATCAGTTTGTTTTCCAATCACCCAATGCCCATGGGTACCTTATATCCCATGTATCTGGCAAAGTCTGCCTCATCTCTATGGACACTATGGCATATCTTTGTTGATCACTCTTTACATAGAAACATTTAATCTAATCACTTGTGCTGATTAAACTGTTTGGCAGCTACACAATCTAAAGGCAAATATTTTTACCTGGGCTCATTTTAATTGTATGAGATAACAATACCAAGCAGTAATATAATAATGCCCAAAAGCTGGTGAATATGGAAATAGGGTGTAAAATAGCCAATATTGGTGTGGGCAATGCTGGAAATAGTTATGAGGATCCTTCATGTAATGTGTTGTATAGCAAACATTGCACATATGGCACTTTGGTATGGCTGATTAAACCAATTGGTTCTCAACAATTAAAAACCAATGGGGCAGAAAACTTGTTTCATCACATACTCTGAAAACATGTTGCTAAGTACATTTAATTTTGTTCAAAACAGCCCGCAAGTGCAATGTGCTGGGGACATTAGATTGTATGGTCCGCTCTAGCAGGGGCCAGCATGAATGGTTTAATGGGTTTAATGTGCAGAATATTCTGGCTCTGTGCAAAAATAAATAAATACATAAGAGGATACATATTTTATGTATAGGAAAAAATACATATGTATAATCTGTGAGTATACAAATCATTTAGCAAATCACAGTTGTTTTAAGGTGGTTTTAACATTCTCTACAGCTAAATGTAGCTATATGTTCCTTCTAGGAACCTGTAATTTAACCTCCTACTCCAAACTGGTTATCATTAAAGGACAATTCACTAAAGCAGCATGAGTTATTGTAACTGCTGTTTTTTTTTCTTGGTTTTAATTATCAAAATGCTCAATCCAAAAACATACTGTGGAATTGGTAATTTTCTGTGTGGAATCGGAATTAACTTTCGAAGCCTTCACTTCTCAAATCACTATTTTTCCTCCCTACCAAAAATGTTATTGTAATTGTTTTATTTAGTTAGTTGGTACATTTTTCACTTGCTGGTTTGATATCTGTTTTACTATATGTATACAATCTTTTCTACAGTACAAATAAAATATAATTAAAACAAATAAAATGTAATTCATGACAAAGGAATCTCCGAGCTTTTGGGTTAGCTACAAGAGCACAATTTGTGTGACTAAAACGTCAAACTGAGTCATCTGAATTTCTGGTGCTTATATATACTTGTTTAGGGAGTTTAGTCACTAGTTTAGACTGTCACTTTTTTGCAGTTGCCTTGACCCAATGCCAAACTACTCAAATAGCATCCACAGACGTACCCACCAGTAATGGCTTTGCTTCTAAAAATATTCCCAGATATGATCAACATTGATTTCTATCTCTTACAGTGTTTGCTTGGATGATGTGTTGCTCTGACAACAGAATAAAAGCCATGGGAAGCCTTACAAGCAACGATCCAGTCAGTTGTTAAATGACAGCAGAAAGAGCAGAATGGAAAATCTGGCTACACTACGACTTATGGCACACAGTTACTGTACAATTATTATCATGCCTAAAATGTGCAAACCCAGCTCAAGTACCAAACTTCCTTATCATTATAATTTGGCTATAACAGTGTATGGTTTATGGGGAGTAGATGAATCTACACAATATTTATGGAATTTACACAAACATTTATGTAAACAGGGAAACAACTATAGCAGGGTACACCCTATACAGGAAAAGCAGAGTAAGAGAGAGAAGTAGAGTTGCCATTTATGTCAAGAATAGTATATATACAGTATATTATATGTCAGAACCTAACATTAATTCAGAAAACAAATAAACTTGAAACCCCCTTGGTCTGCCTAAATCTCCCCTTAGAATTGCTGTACTATATAGGTCTCCAAAACAGTCTGAGGATTATGGTAACCTGTTGATTGGTGAGATAATTCAAATGGCAATGAAAGAACAGGCCTTAAGCACGGGTGACTTCAACATGCCAGACATTACTTGGAGTACTCAAACATGAGCAGAGGTATGTTGGTTTTGAAAGGCTTTTCTCTAAAGCACTTAGCTTAAGCAAAAAGCCCAACCAAATGAGATCATATTCTATACCTGGTGATGACAAATAGGGTTCACTTGTCTGAAGTTGATGTAGGAGAAAATTTGGGTCCTAGTGATTAGAATAGAAACTAAAAATCCACATAAACACAGTATTAGATTTCAAAAGGACGCATTTTCCTGAAATAGGTGACTTCCTAAAAATTTATTAACAGGTTGGCGTAAAACAGCAGGTCAGTAATCAGATGGCACTATCAAAGTCAGCCATCCTGGAGGCAACTAGGTTTTATGTCACGCAAATTAGTAAGAGTAAATGGAAGAGAAAACCATTGTGGTTCACTGCATACGTAAGGATAATTGTAGAAAATCAGTATATAGGAATTACAAGGAAACAGAAAGAATAACTGATAAGGAAGTGTACACTGAGTGGCCAGATTATTATGACCACCTGACGTTTGTAGGCAAATTAGCTATAATTAGCTATAATTTCGCGCTGAAGTTGCTAGGGGGCCAGACCATTATAAATAGGGAAGCAGGTTGTTTACCACGACAGTAGAAGTGATTTTTTTCTGAAGATATGGGTAAACAACGCGATTTAACAGCCTTTGAGTGTGGGATGATTGTTGGCGCTCGGGGCCATGGAGCGAGTATCAGCAAAACAGCAGAATTCGTCAAATGTATAAGAGCCGCTATTATTAAAGTGCTTAAAGACTGGACTGTCAGCCGAAAATCTGGGTCGGAAACGTGCGAATTGTGGCCGTCAGCGACTAGTCAATGTTAGGGCAGAACAGAGAGTGGCAAGACTGGTACAAGACAACAGAAGGGCAACAGTGCAGTGGCAGATTCCGCGCATCACCTTTCAACATCTCGTGGAGTCACAAGGCGGCCCAACAAAGTCATGTGGAGTCATCTCGTGGCCCAACGAAGTACTGATGGGGTGGTCCTAATAATGTGGCCACTCAGTGTATATAACAGATAAAAGGAGGCCAGACATATTATCAGTACTGCTTAAGCACTTTTTAAAAGTCCATCACACATAGTAGCATAACAGTCCCATGCAAGAGCAACCCCTTGCATGTTTCACTGCTCCCCTCTAAAAGTAAGCCAGTGAAACGCGTAAGGGGTTGCTCTTGCAGGAGACTGTTATGCTACTATGTGTAATGGACTTTTGAATAATTAACTTTTACTTTGATGAAGATTCACGGAATGCAGCGTTATTTTCTATTTGAGCTATCCTAGGCAACAGTCAGCCTTTTGTCCAGTACCTGTGTGACCGTGTTGGTCAGCCGAGGCTTGGAATTTTGGAGCCACTGGTTTCTTTTCCTTTGAATTGAACTTTGATACAACTGAAGGTTTAGTGGCAAGGCAGGTATTTTTGGTGATGACACAAAGGGGTGCAATGGAGTTGATATTCCTGCAGGTGTTTGTAAAAAGGAACATGATTTGGCATTGCTAGAAGATTGGTCAAAACAGTGGAAACTGCACTGTATCTGACATCAAATGATGTTTTCTAAATAAAGAATGTATATTAAAACAGTGGAAACTGCACTGTATCTGACATCAAATTATGTTTTCTAAAGAATGTATATTAACCTACCTGGCGGTATTCCCGAGTCTGGCTCGGGGTGAATTTTCAATGCTAGGAGCGGTAACCCCGAGCCAGACTCGGGGCTGCAGAGAAAAGTGACACTTACCTTCTCCCTGCGAGCCCCCGGCGTCCTCTGCTGTACGCGGCTCGAAAATGAAACTAAAAGCCGACATCTGACTTTTAGTTTCGTTTTCGAGCGTCACAGCCGGCGGGAAATTCTAAAGTGAAAAGTTGTAATGTACACAGAATACACACAATACAATGTAATCTGCTATGATTACACTTATGTATCAAACTATTTCACTTCAATTTTGTCCCTAGAGCTTTGTCCTGAGCCCTGCCTGACACTTTTTCACAATTATAAGAAATTATAATATAATAAATGATTATAACAAATTATAATAAAATAATAAAAAAAATGGTCCAGTAAATGGGAATTCTGGGGTCGTTGCCTGATCCGTACCACAGTAAATAAAGTACCAAGTTCGCACATCACTGAGCTCGGTCGCAGAATCCTCGCTGTCCTCACTTTCAGTGTCTGTTGAGGAATTTCCCAACGAATCGCTATCACTCAATTCTGCAAGTAGTTCTAATTTACTATCGCTGTTTTCTACCTGGTCTAAAACCGCTTTTGACCTAAAACAGCGACGATTCTGCGACCGAGCTCAGTGATGTGCGAACTTGGTACTCTATTGACTGTGGTACGGATCAGGCTGCGCCCCCAGAATTCCCATTTACTGGACCATTTTTTTAAATTATTATATTATAATTTTTTATAATTATTTATAATATTATAATTTCTTATAATTATTTATAATTTATTATATTATAATTTTTTAATTTCGTGTTTCAAACTTTATCATACCTGGGATGTCTACTGGACTCTTGTTTGGACAGATTTAGGTGGGTTATTCCTAGGATTTACTAAGAACTACAGGCCTACAATGTAAAACAACATATTTGCTTGAAAAACAATGTACCGCTTTTGGTACCTAAAATCCTGAATAATCATACCGCCAGGGAGGTTAAAACAGTGGAAACTGCAACTTAACATTTCTAAATGCAAAATAATTGTAGCAGTAAAATATTGGGGGTACAGTGTTGTTCAGAACTACAGAGGAAAAATGTTTGAGGGTGCATATTTCAGATGATTGCAAAATGAGCAAACAGTGTGTCCGGGGAGTGGGGAAAGCAAATAATTCTGGGGTTCATTACTAGAGTGATCATCAGCAGGAAGTATGAGGTCCAGATTCCACTATAAAGATCTTTAGTTACACCTAATTAAAAATACTGTGCCCAGTTCTAGAGACCTCCATATAAAAAGATATTGATAAAATAGAACAATTCCAGAGACAAGCAACAAACATGGTAAAATGTCTGAGGGATAAGGTAGTATAGTATGCAGGGCCAGATTTCCAAAAAGGCCAACCAAGGCTCCGCCTTGGGTCAGCAGGGAGTAGAGGGGCAGCAGGGGTGTGGAATTCCTATCTCCCGACGCCGAAGACATGCAGTTTCGGGCACCAGGGTGGTAGTTGTTTTCTACATTTAGCCCTGCTTTGGGCAAGCAGAGCTAAATGTAGAGCGGGAAAGCCGCCGCTTGTTTTTTTCATTTTGCCGAGATCACTTGTATGCAGTCTACAGGTCTGCCATTCTCCATGGGGGAGGGGG